ATAGAGATATCAAATATTAATAGGTCTGAAGAACAACAATTTGTCGGGACTCGTTATTCTCTCCTTTTGGGAGAGGACTCACCAGTTATGAACTGGTGTTTCTTTTTCCTTTTTTCCCCCTGTTAAGAGTAATAGCTCCGATTACTTCTTTTCCTCTTCTATGGGATTCAATTTAACTGTATGATACAGAAAGATTGGCTGGGCACACGATCTCTCATAAAAAAGATCCCACAATTTCACACATCACACTCAAGCAATGAAAGTTGGAGTTAGATTTCTATGAACCTTTACCAGGAAGAGGAAGACGGTGGCAGACTGACGGTCCTCCGTGGGGATGAAGGTGAAGGTTAAGGCGGGTTTTCGCAGTTTATAAATGAGGAGCGGAATAAGAGGTCAAGCATGCTCATTCCCGTCTGGGATTTGTTTTTAATGTCCTTTTCATAATAGCTGTTTTACAGGTCTTGCGGATTAACTTTCCGAAGGCCTTGGCTTGGCCCTGCTTTGAGTACACTACCATACCCATATACCCCAAAAAAAAAAAAAAAGAAATGTCTAAATTTAAAAGGTGAGTAAACATGCAATACCTGATATTGAATGGGGACAATCACAATCAGATCTCCAAAATAAAATTACCTTAAGGCCATTGACAAGGAAATAGTAAGATAATAAGTTTTACGAGTGTAAAATAACAACAGGTTTTCAAGTTGATTATTTATTATTGGGACTTTTTGATAATAAAATTTCTTTTTTGAGACTTCTTAGCAATTCTTCCTATTGAATTATTGACAATTAATTGAGTCATAAGGCAAAAATAATACATAAGAAGTAAAAAATAATAATTATTTTTAACAATAGAAAGATCTAACCAAAAAAGGTGCCTCATCTCATGTTTTTAGGCCTTATTTGGAATAACGACTATAAGTTTTATAAACAAATTTTACATAAATTGAGATATAAATTGATTTACATATTAATTTTATATTTTCATAAGTTACGATTAAAAAATTATTTATACCATTTTAAACGGGTCTTAACAGTCAAAAGCAGCGCTAGGGGTTTGAATCGCAAGTGCCTTTTGGTTTTTTTATATGTACAAAGGAAGTGGGCTTATATTAAGGCTCGAAGGCCTCGAAATGCTACATGGGCCTCTGGCGTTTGAGGCTTGAGGCTCACGTCAACCCACATTGCTTTCTCGTTGCGTTACAGGCTTTAGCCGAATTACGCTAACTTAATCACTAATAAAAATTATATCCAAGTTGGTGTTGATGAGAGCACAGAAGAGATGGAACATTTTGTAAAAAGGCCCTAGCAAAAGGGGCATGGCTGTGATTTCTGTCTGGAGCGGCTCCACCACCAGCTTGCTCAGACTTGGGATTCTTTCATCTTTACCCAATTCTTGTCTGGAAAGTAGTTTCCTTGCTGCTAAAGCATCCAATTAATGTCACTCCAATATCTTTTATAATCATGACTTCACCCACTGGCCTGGTCCCTGTGTCTCTTTTTATCATCCATTTTTAATATAAAAACTAGTTAATTAATTTGAGCAAATTAAAAAATTGGCTATATTAGTTATTATAATAAATATGTGTTATCTTTCATAAAATACCCTTTCATAATTATATATATTAGTTAGAACTACCATTTGATAAAATATTTAATATGTTTAACTACAATAATAGCTACTTTGAGAAAAACATAAATAAAGACGAGAGACAAGATGGATTGAGATGTTAAATTCAGGATCTAATTGAATGTCATATTTAGGACTTAATTGAATGTTAAATTAAGTCTTATATAAGAATCAGAAGTGATATAACTAAAGCTTTCCACTTAACTTATACCGAAATTAATAACCCATGCGCGTAATGAAGGGTGGCTTAATCCATCCTGAGCTCTACTTCGTCACTCCCTTCTCTGTCTCCTGAAAATTGAAGTCGTCCACCCCCCTATGAGATTATTAAATAAGTCTGAAAACAATCACAATTGACATTACGTGTCACCTCACTCGTCGTGTCCCGCTGTTAGAGTGTGAAGATTACATCATTCTACTCCTACCTATTGCAAATGTCAGCAAGAGTTTAAAAAAATAACTTTAAAAAATAAATTGAAATATTATTGATAAAAATAAAAAAATAAAACTCATAAACTAACTCTTACATGTACTGGACTGGAGAGAATACTTTTGAAAAAGAGAACAAATAGATCTCCCGCAGAATAAAAATTCCGTGTTGTCGGCTAAAATTGTGGATTGCACAGTATATGTGCACATTACATGAGAAAACAAATATCCAACCCGAACAGGATATTATAAAAAATACTCTTCAGGTCCTTAATATAAGACCCATTTAACTAATTTGATTAGATTAAGGAAGTTAGGTAAGTTAGTTAATTAAATAAAAATGACACATTTTTTCTAAAACACCATAATTATCTTTATTAATACCTTCTCTCTCTCTTCTACTTGATTATGGTTGAGGGAGTATCCATAGGGGTAATTTAGATAAAATTGATAAATATGTGAAATGGGTCTTATATTTAGGACCAAAAAAACTCAAGAATTGAGTCCTATATTAAGGACCGGAGGAGTATAAGTAATTCAATCAAAATTCAAAATTCACTGTAACTGTAAAGTAGGAGCTAATAATTAATAATAATAACTAATATCTTAAAAGTAATAAATAAGAGATAAAACTAAATTATCTAGAAATAGTCTTAAAAATAAAAGCCATTAAAAATATTAAATAAATATCGCTTTATGGTGGATTTGAGAGGGAGAACGGGACATTTGCATGATGGACAAATACCACGTCGTTAGTGGATTCTATCTCCACGACCAGAGGTGTCGCGCTACAGTGAAGTGTTAACTTCTTGCCACGTGTCTTCAGTCCTCGCAAAGACAGCAAGTTATCTTCCGCATTCTATATTTATGCTTGTAAATCCAAGCGGATCAACTGGCAATCAATCAGTTTTATTACTGGGATGATCCCATATGAAATTGCTTTATTCGCTGGTGGTACTAAATGATTAACTAATCGTCTAATCCTCAATTCATCTCTCACATTGGAAGGTAAAGATTGGCAGGTTTAGTTGAATTGTAAATTTTCCAAAAGGCAGACACATAGTAGGCTTCCACCCACCGACTAACAAAAAAGATATCCACATGAACACCTTTTTAAAGAAGAAAGGAAAAATGGAAAAAAGGGGGAAATGAAAAGAGGTGGAAACTGTAAAGGACACAATGGTCAATGTCATGCAAGCATCAAGCATTCCCACCCATTATAATCCCAAAGACGGCACTCAATAGTCATACGCACAAACCGTCCAAAAAGAAGCACATGATCCCATGATGGAAGAAACAGCAACCATATTGGCTGCAATCTCCGCCCTCCCTCCTTCTCACCTCTCCGATCTCACCCACTCCATCGCCTCCGTCGTCCACCGCCACCATCTCCGTCTCGCCTCCGTCTCTCTTTCCCAACCCCTCTTCTCCCTCGCCCTTCACTACCTCCACTCTCTCTCTTTCCCAGAAGTCCCTCCTCATTGCCCGCCACCTCCTGTCTTCCCTCCCAATCCTCACGCGCCACTTCGAACCGCCGCCGCCTCCATTATCTACTGTCATGAGACAGCGTGACCTCGACGCTGTCCTGCTGCTCCTCTTATTCTGTGATGCCCACCAGAACCACCCGCAAGCCCTCGAAGCGTCAGTTTGCGATTGGCGCAGAAATCTGAGCAAGCTCTTCTCTGATAAAATGTTGGGGATATCTCTACTCCTATCGGGAATGCGGTGCCACGATTTTGATTCCCTATATTGAGATGGTGACACGGTGTCGGAGACTGGTGGGTGCAATGGGCTGCGACGGAGGAAAGGGTGGCGGGGAAGTGGCGGCGTCGAGGACGGCGGTGGTGGCGCTGCCGAGAGTGGCGGTGAGGGCGGGAGGAAGAGAGTGCGTGATATGCAAAGAGGAGATGAGCGTGGGGAGGGATGTGTGCGAACTGCCATGTCAGCATGTGTTTCACTGGAATTGCATATTACCGTGGCTAAGTAAAAGGAATACGTGTCCATGCTGCCGGTTCCGCATGCCGTCGGATGATGTGCTGGGAGAGATCCAACGGCTGTGGGAGGTCTTGGTCAAAACGTGTGGGGCAGAGTGGGGCGATTAGAGCGGGGCCCACAGAATGGGTAAAGACTAAAGAGCGAAAGGCTCGTGTTGGGTTCTCGGTGGTTTGTTTTGATAATTAATTTTGGAGGCTTATGTGTACAGTGTATGGATAGATAGATACTCGTGTGGTTAAGGGGAGAGGAGAAGCACAATTGAAATACGTCCAAATCGACGCCAGATGGGCTCGAATGGGCATTGAATTATTGGTCCCTAGTAACGGATAATGTATGTGGATATGTATTGGAGGGTACGGGGCCGAACAAAACTGAAGAGCAATTCACACTGTAGCTTTTACAAGGTGGTAGACTGGCAGGAGTGGCACGTTTTAGAGCTCACGTATGTTCGGATTTCTTTTTGTTGTGGCCATAATTATGTTAGGAGTTAATTTTGTATTTATGGCTGATTTTCTACAAGTCACAGCTGGATCCAGGTCTCAAATTAAGAGCCTTGAAACATACATCTCTTGAATGGACAAGGGAGACAAAGTCCTTGTTATTGATGAGGAGTTTGAGTCATTTAGATATCGTCACACACAAATTTCAGAAAAAGATGTACCAGAATGTTAAACCGAATGTTTTCTTTTTTCATTTGGCCAAATGTTAAGCCGAATGTTGCCGCTGCATGATTGTTTATTGTTGTACTCCGTAAATTATTGAACCTTTTTGTCATCCAGATTTTTTTCAATTGTGTTGACCTGTTATTGTTACGATGTGTGATACTACCTCTTGTCCTCAATATAAAATCTTGTTTGACTTTTATTTTGTCCTAAATATAAAATCCTAATCTATTTTTTCTATCATATTAATATATTTTTTTTCAAGACAGTCTTTCTAATAATGATAGTTCTAGCCAATACACTTAATTAGTAAGGATATTTTAGGAAAGACAACACTTATTTATTACAAATAACTAACTTAATTTTTTTTAGTCTCCTCAAATTAGTCAACTAGCTCTTATAATTAGGACCGGAAGTAATTGAAGTGATTTATCAGGTCTATGTTATAAAGATTTTTTACATGTTTCATAATATAATATGTTCTTTTTTCAAAATGTTAATTTTTTCGGCTTATATTCTTATTAATTATAAAAAATTTTAAATTAATTAAAAAATCTCCTCATTCTTTTTATTGGAGTAATTTTGAGATTTCTTAACTTCCTAATTTTTTTAAATAATTAATCAGAGTGTATAAAAAGGACATAGTAATATAATTTTTGCACGTTGGGGTTGCATTATGATATGGGCTCTATCTCAGAGCTAGCCCAAATACTTGGGCCAATATCTTTTTCCATCCATAGTACAAATTAATCCGTTCTCATTTAAGGCATCAGTTTACCGAAAAGGAGGCACGATGCAGTCATTGCTCTTGTTTTGTTTCCAATGCACTACCTCCACTATTTAATAGAAATTCTGATACTTAATAACAAACTTAGTTAATTAATTTAAATATATTAAAAATATTTGTTAAGTTAGTTATTTATAATAAGCAGGTCTTAGCTAGAACTACTGTTTGATGAAATCTTTAATATGTGTAACTACTTACAATGATTATTTTGAAAAAAGTAGATCAATATGAGAGACAAAGTAGATTAAAGTCTTATATTTAAGACCAAATTAAAAATCAATAAGGAACGAATCCATTTTTTCTCTCTTATTTGTTCATTTTTCAAAATAGTTCTTGTAAATAGCTGCACATGTTAAATGTTTTATCAAATAGTTGTTCTAACTAATACACATTATTAGCAATGATATTTTAGGAAAAAGAATACATATTTATTACAAATAACTAAACTAATTTTCTTAATCCATTCAAATTAGTTAACTACTCCTCTGACCCTATTTATAAGTTATTTTCAACATGTTTTATATAGATTTAAAAAAACCTTAAACTTTATTGACTCTCATTTTAAATTCAACAACTTTTCAACTTTATTCCTATTTAATATATATCATACTTCATGTAAATAAAGTCAACACAATAATAAATCAAAAATAAAATTATATATCTACATAAAAAATTGGGAAATTGCAAAAAAGACCTTGGAATTGCAAAAACGCAGATAGGGACCTTGACAACTTCACTTTGGGTTTTGACAACTTCAGGGCATATTATTCTTGTCAAAACCCAAAGTGAAATTGTCAAGGGTCTCTATCTGCGTTTTTGCAATTCCAAGGTCTTTTTTCAATTTCCCCTAAAAAATTTCTCTTAGTATCCTATAAATAATACTAGAAGAATGGTTATTATATCAAGGACATGAGTGGTAATTATCACTAATGTATACCATCACGTGCTTTCACAGACGGTATCAATGTCAAATCTTTTCGGAAGTTCCAGATCTGGGTTAAAATCAAAATCTCCCCTGATACGATACGTGGATGATAGCAGAAAGATTATAGAGAAAATTGAAATGATGCAGACGAAAGAAGATTAGCTGCATGACTTCTACAGAAAGATGCGACGCACAAATCGAGGAAATCTTTCCTGATGATTGTGGGGAACACTATTAATACAAGCGAGAGTTATATTCACACTTGACAGCATGAAATTAATTCAGACTCACTTCTTTCTCTTTAGTCACTGTTATTTTTATTCAGTTTTTAAGTTTATGAATGTTTTATTTTTTTGGTATGCACAGATATCTTTTTATTAGAAAGAATCCTACTTGAAGCATTTTGAGCTACTAAGTATGAGTACTTCTTTTAATAAAAATTTAAACATTAATTTGTTACGGTAGGAACGACCGGTCCCATCCAACCATATGTATTAAAATGTTGGTGCGTGGAATAAGCACAGAGCTCAGGTGGTCATGTGAAATTATACAAGGCTGGGAAGCGATCGTCGTTATTGGTGGCTGGATCTGAAAATAATTCATGTGATGGCGTATTTTCGGAAGCTGTTACGTTCATCCAAATCCAAACCATGCAGCACCCATTCACAAGTGAAGAAGAAGCAGACGAGAAAGAGCGGTGAAACCCTCCAATTGTTGCACGTCACGTGATTCCCCACTAAACACCAGCAAATGAAACCAGACGAGTGTGTAAATGTACATGTTTGTTCCTGCACTTTCAATTTTGAAATCTTTCTGCACTTTCCCTCCCTCGTCCAATAACCGCTTCTCTGCTACATTTGTCACCACCACTCGCTGTTATTTATCAAGCTCCGTGATTACCCAATTGTATTATAATCATGTGGTTTTGCCTCTCACACTGAGAAACACCCAGCTCAATACTTTAATATCCAGCGTAATATTGATACACAGGGATGAGCAAAACAGAGGCCTATTTCCATACATTCGTACATAAATATTCCGTTGAGAGAATGGGATATTTTCATGTGAAGGTGGCTATAGCCCCCCAAATGGATATTAATGGGCCCCAGTAACACAGAAATTGAGAGTCACCGTCTCACTTATTAATGCCATTCAACCATTCTTGGAGGTGGAATCTTTATAACCATTTGACCGTTTTCAAGGACGTCGATTTCATCTTGAGATTAATCCGATCTGAAACTGATAGTTTGTGTGTGTCCATTTTAAATACCAAAATCTCATATTATTCTACATACAAACAAACAAACCCACTCTTTGGCACGCTCATTCTTGATTTTCGAATACTTACGGTGGCTGGCATCTTTGTTTTCCTGAACATGTGCATCATCACGGATTCTCCTTGTGACCCAGACTTAACTAGGACGGCATTTATTTATTTGTTTATTCCTTCCTCGAGAACAACCTCTCTGCTGTAAATTTAGGGTTTGAATTTGATGGCATTTAAACGTGTGGGGGTCAGTTTTGTGTACTGTGAAGTTGATGCCACGAAACGACGGAGAGTAGGCTAATGGTAGGTACCGTTTCTGGCAAGGAGGTCCATAATAAATGGAGGTAAGTTTTTGAAATTTTCCTTCTTTTTCCTCTCTCTCTCTCTCTCTCTCCGTGTTCGCGATAACTTATCTTATAGTACATTTCAAAATGTGTTATCTTAGTGACAAGAAAATGGAAGGAAGAGAGGGTTTCAACACTATCGAGTGCCTCAGAGCAAGATTGCTTGCAGAGAGACACGCCTCCAAGCTGGCCAGTGACGAAGCTGAATCTCTAGGCCTCAAGGTATTCTACTCACATTCTGTTTTATTCTGTGGCTCTTTCTTTTATTATTGTCCAGAAAAATGAAATTTCTATTTGGGTGGTGGACAGTTGATTGAGCTGGAAAATAAATTAAGACAAGAGATTAAATTCAGAGAGAGAGCCGAGAGAAGGCTCAAATTTTTGCTGAAGAAGCTTAAGTCTAGCAACATTTCATCCACATCAGGGGAATCTGAGCAATCTTATTCATCAGAGAAATGTGAAAGTTCGTTTACAACAAACAGTTCAGCTTCCACTGACGCAGAAGAGAACGAAACAAAGCCTCATTCAAGAGATTCGCCTATCTCCGGGGGTTCTATGCACCAAATTTCTAAAGACTCCATTCAAGCCCATAATGGTCCTCCCGTTTCAAAAGATTGTGATTGCCCTCAAGATCTGCGCGAGAATCCAAGTCCAAACTCTGAAAATTTCAACGACAGCGAAAACAGGTGTTTAATTTCAACGCGCAGAACCATTGCGTTTGATTACAAGTTAATATGTTTTACATGCATTAGTTTAAAATAGCCCACTCTCTTTGTCAGGGTTTCGTTTTCAAGCTCCAAATCATCAACAGGAGTTTCCACTGCTCGGGACACTAATATTTACAGTTCACACACAAGTCCAAGCAGCCCAAGCTCCCCTGAAGACCCAAGTCACAGTCCAAATCTGAGCTCTGATAACGACAAGAACGATGAAATCAGACGCGGAATTTGACGAAACAGTGCTTTATCTCATGATTTCACTTGTTTTCAACGTTGAGAATTTCGGATTTCTGGGGGTAACCTCAAAGACCATCAATGAGGATGATAGAATAGTGTGATTGAAGCTTGTGGCTGCATACGGAGGGAAGCTAGCTTCTGGGCTCAGTGGGAAGTGGAAGGCAAGTGAGAAATAGTGGTAATAGTATTCTAAATAATGTGCATGTTTTATTATAGAAATTAGAACGCGAGAGATGAGATTAGGGAAGGTGAGGCAAATGAGATCACAAGAGCAGCGTGGCAAAGTTGGTGAGAATGATCAGAGAAAGCATGTGAGTGTGAGGATTTTAAGTTTCTGGTCGTAAATGAATTCTTGAGTTGGTGGATATGGTCACTTGACTCTTGTTCTTTATTGGTTCAAGACTAGGCGGGTAGGTTGAGATCAAAAGGCTTAATAAGTTCACGAAATTAATTGCCATACTATATGAGTGTGAGGACAGGAAGATGAATAAGATTTCTTTCTAAATTTTGATTGCAACGTATCCATTATAGCATATATGTATGTGCTAGTGCTAGTAAAAATAAATAGGACCATTTCCAGATATGATTTGTTTTAATCAATTAAATATATTTAAATGATGAGAGACAATTCAAGCTGAATCTCACGTGCTCTTAACTAAAAATGTACGTTCTATGGAAAAATAAAGGAAGCGCCATAAAATATAAATTAAATAATAATAATGATGATGATGTGTGACGCACTTTTTGTAATTATTGTAAGTTAGCAATTCAGTTTCAAGGATGTCGCATCCCTCTTAATTTAATTAGTTAAAAATAATTTTTTTATTCATATTGCAAATTTGCAATTGCTAATGAAAATCTTTCTTTTAAATTAGGCAAACCTACCGTTATTAATTAACTCTTGCCCGATAATTAACTGATAATCTGAACTTATTCATCTATTATTTTTCTTGTAATTATGCTGTTTTGTTTGGTCCCTCAAATTTACATTTTTTAGTTATTTAATTTTGTAATTAAAACAGTATGCATAAGGGGAGAAAATAACGGTAAAAGTGTAATTTTGTCCCAATCTTATTTATTAGTTGTAGCCAGTACTTATGATGCAGTTTTACCTACTACCTCTTATTTTTAATATAAAATCTAATTAACTAATTTAAGTAGATTAATAAAATTAGTTAAATTAGTTATTTATAGTAAATAAGTGTTATTTTTTCTAAAATATCCTTACTAATCACGTGTATTAGCTAGAATTACTATTTGATAAAAATTTTAATACGTGCAACTACTATAAGGACTAACTTTTAAAAAAATAAATAAATATGAAAGACAAAATAAATTTGTACCTGATCATGGGTAAAATTACTCTGGAAAGAGATTATGAGCAAAACTGCACCATGAAGTGAATCGAAATGGTGCTAGGTGAATGTGAAAAATAATACTAGCTCTTAGTATTATACTCATAAAATTTCACCTTTACCAAAAAAAACTAATGTAAATTAACTCTACTTATTATGAAATATAAATACAGGAGAAAAACGATATTTCGAAAATGAGTCAACGATTGTTGGTGAAGTATGGGTGAGTGAAAGCGGCATGAAGAGAGCGTGCGATGAGACACGTGTGTTACTCATACGGGTTAGGCGGTCGAGAGAAGCGAGAAAGAACGAACCAGAAGCTTCTTTAACATTCATGTGATCTCTCACATTTCCGGAATATGTCCCTTGGAATGAGACTAATGACGTGGCAAATTTTTATCAAACCCCCCTGACGTGCTTCTTCCTAACACTCTGTGAGCTAGTGGCCTTTTTCCTTTTTAATGGCGAGTTAGTTATGTCGTTGCATTTAAATGAGAAGGCGCACAGTAGCAGGCATCTTTAGTTTTCTATATCCACGTATTCCGATCCCAAAAATGAACATGGAGATGAACAAAATAAATCACAGCATAAAACTAATAACCAAATAATGGAGTCTCCCCATTTGGAACTTCCTCACAGTATTTATACATTCCTCTAATAAAGTAGCCAGTCTTAGATATATTGGGAGGAACAACAATATGGTAGTGTTATCAGGATCCGATTGGGTGTTGAATCGGTCAGCATATTGCTTTCAAAATCATGATGAGACCAATCTCAGTTAACAAACTCTGATAGTGGGGTGGAATTTTTCACAATATTTTATAATTTAACAAAAATCGCTGAAACTAAGCATTTGCTGTAAATATTTACGAGTATATAATTTCTAACAGTTACTATTGATCATATATATACACTTAAAAGTGAAGTTAAAATCATAATATATAACGTGCAAAGAATTTTAACAGGCTGCAAATAATACAACTCCCTTTTCAGATATCATGCATTCGTATTGGTTAGCCAATACAAAATACAAAAATTTTAGAAAATTATATTATTCATAGATTCCTCCATGCAACGTCTTAAATTTTTTAAAATATTTTTTTCAGACGTTTTACTGAGCATCGCACAACTTCATTTTTATTTTTACTTTGAAATTCATAACCATATTAATTTCTTCTCGAGATAAAAATAGATAATACTGGAAAATAAAGTCGCCAAATTATCCAACACAACTACTAACAGACCAACAGCATAAAGGCGGGAGTTTAAAAAACTGTCGGTCATAAACGAAGCAATCATGAATTTAGAAAAGTTTTGGATTCTCACGAAAACTAAAACAAGGAAAAGAATAATGTAATTAGCATATGAAATTGGAAAATGCAAGTCTTACTATTAGGCGACCAAAGTGAGCCTGAAACCGAGCTTTCCAGTTTAAAAAGGTGGAGATCATTGGGGACAAAGGGAAGGCAAGAGAACCACACTGTCAGAGCTTGTAGTTCAAATCTCTTCATTTTCTCATTTTAGATCTTGTCAGACTCTCTGCTCTTAGCTTTGAAGATAATGTGCCATAAAGCTCCAAATGCTTCTCCATGCACTGCTCCCTTTCGTCACTAAGATCTTCGACCAACTCCGTCATATTCAATCTCTGTGTTCCTCAAACACGGAACAAGACTAAGGTCCCAGAACCCATTCAACTCAGATAAGGTACAGAGCATCAGAAGCACTCCTCCACATTCTCTGAACTTTGCATGAAAACTTACGGTCTTCCTCACAAGGTACACTTCTTATTTACTTTAGCCCATACCCATATGCTCTTTTATCTGAATTCTCTTCACTTCTTGTCCTCTCTGCTTCTGGTGGGTATATATAGCTTCAGGAACTTTGATCTCAGGGCAAGGACTTTGAGCTGAAAGCCTGAAACTGACGATTGTTTTGGGTTCAGGTCTGATAAATAAATCAATTGCTGCATCATTTTGAAGATATAAATCTGAAACACAGGTTTTTATTAGATTGAAGAGTTGCCTGAGAAATGGTTCGATCCTGCTGGAAACCATCTGTAGAAGGTGAGGATGGAGACTTGAATGGGAGAGTCGATGGACTGCTGTGGTATAAGGATTTGGGTGACCATTTGTACGGGGAATTCTCAATGGCTGTAATTCAGGCCAATAGTTCATTGGAGGATCGATGCCAACTCGAATCTGGACCCTTCACTTCCAACCATTTGGGTCCTCAAGGGACCTTCATAGGGGTCTATGACGGCCATGGGGGATCAGAGGCCTCGCAGTTCGTCGCAGACAATCTCTTCTTCCATCTCAACAGTATTCACTCTCGTCTTTATTCTGATTTATAACCATCCTGTTATTCTGGTTTTCTCTTTCTTCAGACAAATTTGCACAAACTCGGGAAAAAAGTTTGGTTCTTTTTTTCCTGTCCTCTCATTCCAGAGTTGTACTTACCAAACCTTTTTTTTTTTTTTCCCGGTGTGATCCAGGGTTTGCGAGTGAAAAGCAAGCCATGTCAGAAGATGTGATCAAAAGAGCATTTTATGCGACAGAAGGGGAATTCCTGTCGGTTGTGAAGAAGCAGTGGCTAAGTAGGCCAGAGATTGCATCCACAGGAACATGTTGCTTGGTTGGGATAATTTGCAACGACATGCTATATGTTGCAAATGCTGGGGATTCCAGAGTGGTATTAGGAAGAGAAGAGAAAGCAACCAGAGATATGGAAGCTATCCAATTATCCGCAGAACACAATGTCAACATCGAAACTGTGAGAGATGAACTTCGGTCCAAGCACCCTTATGATTCACAAATTGTGGTCGCCAAGCACAATGTTTGGCGAGTGAAAGGCCTTATCCAGGTATTATTCAGATTACAGACTCAAATCCTTGTAAGCAACTTGGTAACACAAGTACTGATACGAGTCTTCTTTTTTGCAGGTTTCAAAATCCATCGGCGATGCGTATTTGAAGAAGACAGAATTTAACAGGGAGCCCCTGCCATTCAAGTATAGATTGCCTGAGCCCATGTTTAAGCCAATTCTTAGTTGTGAGCCATCAATATCAACCCATAAACTCGAACCACGGGATCAATTTCTCATCTTTGCTTCTGATGGATTATGGGAGCATCTCAGCAACCAAGAGGCTGTTAACATTGTGAGCAATAACCCACGAAATGTAAGGTCACATTATTCGCATTTGAGAACTTTGCAGCCGTAACTGTACCTTAAAAGAGATGATTTTGGAGTTCCAATCTGACTAGTGCTTGTGTTTCACGTAACACAGGGGATTGCTAGGAGGCTTGTGAAGGCTGCACTTCGGGAAGCGGCAAGGAAAAGAGAGATAAGATTCTCGGACCTGCAAAAGATAGAAGAAGGAGTGAGGAGACACTTCCATGATGACATAACAGTAATTGTTGTATTTCTAGATCCCAAACTGACTCATGATGGGCACGGCTCTCTCTGGGACCTTCCCCTTTCAATCAGAGGAGGTGGCTCTGCCAACTCTTAGTGGAAATGATATTGGTCTAGTGGTTTTCCCTTGGTTATGCCTATGTCTCCGGAATTCTGAAATATCAAAGTCCCACAACGTTAACAGAGCGGTTTCTCATTGAAGCTTTCATGATTCTTACGTAGAAAAGTATCCCGCTATCAGATATGATAAGAGTACCAAGAATTTAGATGGGACAGATTAAGCTGAATTCATTACTACCAAGGGAATTATTGTTATCATTTCCTCCCAAGTTCTGTGAAGTGTTAAATACTGGTTAAGATGAACACATTTTACCAATTTCCATGTACAATTCCACGGCTTCTACATTACAAGTTCACAACCGTTCATTACTTTTCGTTCCTCTTTCGTTTTTTCCCCTAGTGAAAAAACCATCTTTCTTTCTTGTTTTTTTTTGGTTGAAATAATCCTTAAAATGATTTTAACTGCCAAAGTCACAATACCCCAGTGACAGCTGCAGCGGCCCATTATTTGGTGTTGTATTTCTTTATTTATTTTAAAATTACTTTAAGGTTCCACGCCACATCCTAAAATATTATGAACTTCATTGAAATCAAATGAAATCATCAAATTGTTGTGGAGTCTCCTCCTAAGCCTTAATTGTGAATAAGTTTTGCTATATATTTATCAAAATATCTTTAATTAAAAAACTGAAAAAAATTCTCTCCCTCAATTCATTAGTTGTTATCTTTCTGTAATGAAATTATTAATCTTCTATACTAGAGTTATTGATATTAAAGTTTTTTATTTGCAACTCTAAACTTTTAACATTAACAACTACCTGGATGAATAACTATCCTTACAACTAACATAAGAATTTACTGTTCGAATTGCCATTCGTGAGGCTTAGCTTGACCATTTTCACCTGCATTTTATGAGTGCCATAAGAAAGTACTGGGAGCCAAAGTTCTAAATCTGCTGGCCCTGCGACGGAGTATTAAAACTAATTTTACCCCAAAAGCCATACATTTAAAAGTTTTTGCTTCCCAAGTCAAGATGTTTATCCCCGTCTCTCCCCAAAAAACGAAACTGCAGTGGGCCCATACATTTCTCAATGATTCATGGATATCCAAATGCAGCCATTGCCAACATTTGCTGGTTTAAAAAAAAAGGAAAAAAAGCCATTGCCAACATTTCTCCATCATTTATTTTTATTCCCCCTTTCATTTATGAGAAATATGTGCTTGTGTAATCTTAAAAAGAAAAAAGTGTCACATAAGTACCCCTAACATAACATCATCTGTTATGTTTAGATGAGATCTTAGGTCTAAACCTAACATTCATATGTTAATGTGGGTTCGTACATTTAATTATAAATTATTTTTTTTAAAAAAAAGAAAGACCACCCTTCTACATATGATAATAAAATCTCAAGAATAAAATGGTAGAACATGTATAGTATGTGCATAGTGTTTTAAATATTTTAAAAGTTATGGATAAACAAAACCCTTTGGTACCGTAATTATGGACATTTGAAAACAAGGGGACAAGAGAGATTGGTTGCAAAGAACATGGTGAAAAAGAATCAAGATTCCGAAAACTTCCGCTCAAATGGTTTCATCCTATACTCTAACAATCCAAAAGGGAGAAGAAGCAAATTTTGAAACACCCCCCCCCCCCCAAAAAAAAAAAAATCCTTGGCTTTAGATTCCAGATTTCTAATCCTACTAAGTTTGAAGACAAGAAAACACTAAAGAAGAGAATTGCTAATTCCACTGAGGTGTCACTAATCAAAGCAAAACTAGGGCAACATAAACGTAAACTTCAGAATACTTTGATGTTGATCATGTCTTGGCAGAATTTGGTCCAGAACAGGGAAGATTGCTGCACCAGGGGATTACTGTGTCAAAGCGTAGATACAACATGACGGCCACCAAAGGAATCTTGAACTGTTATAGATTATACCTGCACAAAGGTTTCCAAAAGACTAAAAGAAAAGGCCTGTAGGGATGCTACCATTAATTTATCAAGAACATGATCTAACTGCACCAATTAACTTACGATAAAATTTCCGACTAATAAGGAAGCAAGCAGCCGTTCAGGTCCGTCCGGAAGCTCCGCCTGCAATAGTGGCCTTCTAATCTAGAACAGTCGAACTAATCAGTACAAGAAGCACCACAAGCATAGCCCTTTTTTATCCTTCTAAAGTTGCAAGTAACCATAGGGCCTTACTGGCTCAATATCTTCTTTCCCGTTAGCTTGAGATAGAGAACACGGGGGAGGATTTGAAAACCTACAATCAGATAACAGCTAAGATGTAAAACAAGGTTGATATGCACACTCAAGTCTCCTGCTACATGCAGTAGGGGGCACTTCTATGCTAAGGGGAAGAAAAAATTCTGATATACACCTAATTGCTCTTGCCTTCCTTTTCTCTTCCTCCATTGGGTCAATTGTGGAAACTGGCGCAAAGCTAGGAAGCCGAGCTTTCTTCCTTGGCTTATCATCATCAGCAGTAGATGAATGCGTAATGCCAAACCTGGGAGGGATGTCATATACTGATATCATCATCATCATCATCATCTACACACACAGAGATCGCCAGCCAAAAACATTGCGAAGAGCGGGACAAGTATAGGGGGAACTTGGTGCCAATTCAGCTCATTCATTTAGTGAAACTGCAAGTAAATGATAGAATTAGGAATTGAAAAACCTCTCTTCTCTAGCCCTTCCCTTTAGGTCATTTGATCTTGATGTTGATGATGCTTGTAATGTGGACCCAGGGCCGAACCTGCAGTAATGAGAGGTGTAAAAAATATGCGAAATCAAATCAGCACTAAATTCCACCCACCGATTAATTATCTTTTGCTTTAGACCAAAACCAATTTAGTTGAATATTTCCAAGGGGTGCCCGTATAGGATTGCAGATATGCTATAGGTTGTTTTTTTTCCTTAAAAAACAACCGAAATGAAGAAATATAAAATTAAGAGCCTAAAATCTCTGTGATTTTTTTCTTTTTATAAAAAGCGACATTTCGACGTAAAGGAAGGGAAATTAATAGCTAAAAATCCAAAGAATTCGAAACTTAAGTTAGAAACGTTTACTCCAAAGGCTCTTCCATTAACTACCTCTGAATTGCATTCCAGTACATATCAGCATGACTTGTTCATAAGTCCTGGCATATTATTCATTTGACTTCCTCCTTGCCATCTCCATTCTTATACATGCAAACCAGAGTGTAACACGTTTACAAACAGCTATACACCAGCAAACAAATCAGATGCACACGAAACCTAAACAACTCGAACAATTTGAGGAAATTGCCGTTTGGGTGATTGATTCGCCTCTCTTGGTTACAAGAGGTAATAGGAAAGATGATTTGTTGAGGTTGTCACGCAGTCGAACATATGGAAGTTATAGAAAGGAAGAAATAACAGAAAAGATAAGAGAAAATAAAATGGGAGATGGTTTATAATGAATCTGTTCACATTCTTGTTTTAAAATATATTACTTTAATTTAACTTAATTTTTTCGCCAATATTACTGTAATTATTTTAATGGGTAGCTTAGAGTTTAAAATGTTTAATTTCTGGTCATGTGATTGTAGTTATTAATTTTTTTGAAATTAATTATATAAGATATGGTACTCTATAAAATAAACGAATTTAATGCCCACCAGTATGTGTAGGGACAAAATTTAAACTAATCATGAAAATCAGGGAATGTACTGCAGATTTTTCATCAACTGTGCGGATTCCGCATGCACAAAACCCGCCTAGTTTTATTGATATCTTCAGAAGTGCACATGCTAAGTCGGGAAACATTGCATGCAACAATTTTTTTTTTCTCACGATATTTCCAGTAGTCTGGTTTGGATGGTCCTAAGTAGTTATGGCGGACTTACAGCAAGATAGTAAAAGCAATTAACAATCATAGTTCTAATCTTGAATGAGTTATCGCCAGTGATATTAGAGAATTACTCATGATACCATGAAAGAAAACACTCGTGCTTAGCAAAATGTGCCGTTCCAAAAAGCCAAGGAGCAAAAACAGCCCAAATTACCAACGTTGAATAAAATGTTACCTTTCGACTCGGGAGTTGCGCTTCTCTTGCCTACACAGCTGGACAGAAATGCCGAATCGCTCCGCTCGTCGCATCTTTTTCTGAACATCGGTAAGGGGGGCATCATTGCTCGCTTCTGAAGCCACGGCAGAAACTATCCCCTTCGGTTCGGAACCCCCATTCGGAGAGCTGCCGGTGTTGTAAGTAGCTTCGGAGGCCGGTTCTTGGGTCTTGCCAGGGTGTTCCGCGGCAAGATTCTCTGCTTTCGGTGTCTCCGCCTGGGTTGCCATTGGAACGGTTGCAAGAATTTATGTCATAAAAATACGTGAATATTAAAAAAAAAAAATTTATATATCAATCATCATCAATCAATCATTATTAATTATTAATCAATCAATCAATCAATTATATTTTTAAAAACTTATAATACATAATTCGTTTTAAAAACAAGTCGAGTATAATATTAAAACATCTAAATATATTTAATTGATAAGATTTGAATAATATTTTGATTGGAATTTATGTATATTGAATTAAATGAGGAGTATCGTTATTAAATGAGATTTCAATTTGAAGGTCAAATGAAGGAATTAATAATTAATTTTGAGTTTAAATGATATCTTAATTGGGACTTGAATATATTAAATTAAATAGAAAATATCATAATTAAATAGTACGTCAATTGGGAGTTTAAATAGAGAAATAAATAAATAATTTTAAATTTTTATATGGTCTTCTTAATTTTTGAATTTCTAATTCAAATCTCATTTGAATGAATAAAAAAAATTACACGTCTATAAAAAGTGAATATAATTTTGAGCTGCCTTCAATAATACAATTTATTATCATTTAAAATTTAATCAAATATTTTAATCCGGACATCGCACGGGAAGAAATCTCTAGTTATATAATAATACATGTATTAGTTTAAATCTGAGAAGGTGTTTAGTTATTACCAAAAATATTTTTTAAAAGTATTTTTTATAAATCAAAGTAAATTTTTTGACATATTTAATTTGTATATCATAAAAACAGTTTGGTTTTTATTTAAATTAATTCTTCGGTCAAAAAAATTAATTAACCCTGTTTAAAAAGATTGTTAAAAATAAGTAATAATTATACTTTAATATTTGAAACAGAATATATACTTGAGAATAAAATAAGTTATAGATTAAGATAGGTACTATTCGACTGCAGTACTTTCTGTTTTAAATATAAAAGTTAATTGGCTAATTTGAATAAATTAAAAAAATATTATCCTATTTATAGGCATAAACAGAAGGTTTTTTTGTTTTATTTACAAGTCACTTCATTAAATTTTCAGCGTGAATATATTATTTTGTCTTCCATTTATTATAGTACAAGTAGTTATTTCTTTTGAAAGGTATATATATTAAATACAGGTAAAATTAAAAAATTGTTATATTTTTATAGAGAGTTAATACATTTTAAGGTTTTTTTTGGTTGGTGTGATATATACTGAAAGTGCCCAGAATGATAAGAGCAAGTTAATTTAGTTGTTTGTAATAAATATGTATTGTCTTTCCTAAAACATCCTTACTAATCAAGTGTATTGGTTAGAACTAATATTATTAAAAGGACAACCTTAAAAAATATATATAAATCAAATGAGATTTCATACTACCTCCGGTCCTTAGTATAAGATTCTGTTTGATTCTTATTTTTTTAATTATAAGACCCCAATCTACTTTGTCTCTCATATTTACTCAATTTTTTTCAAGATAATCCTTCTAATAATTATAGTTCTAGTTAATACACTTGATTAGTAAGGATATTTTATAAAAAACAACACTTATTTAGGACAAATAATTAACTCAACTTACTTTTTTAATCTCCTCAAATTAGTCAACTAGTTTTTATAATTAGGACTGGAGGGAGTATTAAGAACCAGAAGTAGTATAATCTACCTCTAAATAATTTCTATGTATTTAAATTTACAGGAAGTTATTTAATTTAGTGGCTCGGGGTTCTGGTTTGTGTGCGCAGCTGCTTAGAGAATCACGTGCTGTCATTTTTATATTATTGCATACAGCAACGGGATAATGAGCTAAACTGGTTGGGTTTGATGATACTACTTCCGCTAGAATTTTATTTATAATCTATAAATAAGTTTTTATAATTAAAATCAAAGGTAGTACATTTTTGGTTTTCAGTGGATGGAACAATTTGCTAAACTAATCCTACCTATGTTGCAAATTACATGTGAATCTTATATTTAGCACCGCATCTAATGCAAATTTGCTGTATTGTATGGAATTTGAATGTGAAAAGTCAATTAGTTTCATATTTTATACTAATAAAAAACAAATTATTACTACCTCTTATTCCTAATATAAAAATTAGTTAACTAATTTTAGTATATTAAAACTTTTTATTAAGTTAATTATTTATAATATATATGTGTTATCTGTCTCAAAATATTCTTATTAATCATATGTATTAATTAGAACTACTATTTGATAGAATAAAAAACAAATTACTGCTACATCCAGTTCTTTGTACTATCTCCGATTTTTAATTTGGTCTTAATTATAAAATACTCATCCACTTTTTCTCTCATATTTATTTATTTTTTCAAGCCAATCTTTATAATTATGGTAATTCTAGCTAATATACTTGATTAGCAAGGATATTTTAGAAAAGACAACACTTATTTATTACAAATAACTAACTCAACTAGTTTTCTTAATGTATTCAAATTAGTTAACTAGCTCTTATATTAAAGACCCACGGTTGTATAAGAGCTAGTTAACTAATTTGAATAAATTAAGAAAGTTTGTTAAATGAATTATTTGTAATAAATATGTGCGGTCTTTATTAGATATTCTTATTAATTATGTATATTAGTTATTTGATAGAATCTTTAATATGGGTAACTATTACAAGGACTATTTTTTTAAAAAAAGATAAATATGATAGACAAAATTAGCTAGAGTCTTATATTAGAACTAAATTGAAAAAAAAAAACTCTTATATGAGTAGGCAGGCAATATTTAACGCTGTATGAATTTTATAACTCTTATCTTTATCTTTTATATGTACTCTCAATTTTAATATACAACCGGATCTCGTCCCCGTCATATTGCGCGTCAGGACACACATGATGACACGTGCTTATAATATGCACGACATACATTTTGAGATGAATTTATGATAATGGATTTATAAATAATATGGTTTATTGTATAGTCTATATTTTATATGATATATTTTTCAGAAAAATTGTAAAGAAGTTGATTACGACCCCCACGAAAAAGTAATTCGCAGCTGAATAATCAAGCACAATTCTCAGCTTTTTTTATTTCTCCTCAAATGAACATTTCATATCATGAGATCAAATTTCCTTCACATTAAAAAGCCTGCTGGTTTAGGTGCAAATGACTTCTGGTACACGACAGAAATTGCATTTTCAATCTAAAATCACGGCGCATGTAATATTCAGTACCATTGTCATTTTTTCTTTTCGATGGAACCGCCAGGTTCATCTTTTGTTCCATTCACCTTGTTTTTCCTTTCCCTTCTATTCTAATTTCTGGTTTCTCTTGCCCCTCTGATGATCGTTTCATATTGGATTATCTTTTAGATTGTACGTTAGCCATACTTGCCCTTTCGCACAACGTGTCTGGATTACTGGGAACTACAAGGTTGTTTTTATCGCCCTCCCTTCTTTTTTTAACCATCTCTTACTGGAAGCACTTACGCATTTTTTAGTGTTGTTTGATCAAATCATTATTATGTTCGTTAGTCTTTTTCTTGTCAAGTGATCAACTTGTTGAACTTCAGGGAGTTCAAGATAAGATCAAATTAGTTGCTATCGATCTCGAAGACAGGCCTGCTTGGTGGGGGTTGAAAGTCTACCCTGAAAATAAGGTGTGTTTTGATAACCAAAGAAAGATGTTGATTTTCATGTTGCTGTAATTTGCTAATTGAACTTGGCTTGGTTGACTGAGCTATTTGATCCGACTGATGATTGATCATGAACTTCCTCGTTATTTTGCAGGTTCCATCGTTGGAACATAATGGCAAGCTTTTGGGAGCAGGTCTGGATTTGATCAAATATGTCGATTCAAACTTTGAAGGGCCATCTTTGTTTCCCAGTGTAAGAGCCTAAAGATTCCACATTTGTACATGGATCATGATAACCCCTGTATAGTGAAATCACAGTCTGAATATGTTTCAGGATCCTGTCAAGAGCGACTACCGTGAGCAGTTGATTTCCCATGTTGATGCGTTCGTCAGGGAAGGGTTCACTTCGTTGAAATCAGCAAATCCTGTACAAGAAGCCAGTAAGATTTGAGTTTCTGAAAAGGAGAGTGGTATTAAAATGAAAGGTACCGCTCAAAATTGGCATTTTCATGCAGGTCCTGCTTTTGATTTCTTAGAGAATGCTCTTGGTAAATTCGAAGATGGACCATTCTTCCTAGGCCTATTTAGTTCGGTGAGTTGAAATTAGGAATTTTGTTGTCGTTCTTGTTGTCGTGGTCGTTATATTTAACTAGGCTTCTCAGGTTGAGGAATTATTAATTTCTGAGGAACTCAGACTGCCGTATGCGAATTGCTCGTTGAGAGTATCATGTTAATGAAATAGTCATAACTTAAAGCAAAAACTTTGTCACATAATATTATCAATGATTTTGCCAACTTCATCTAATAATAATATCCATGATCACGATATATATGGTGACCATCAGGTGGATATTGCCTATGTTCCATTTGTTGAAAGATTCCAAGTCGTCTTTTTTGAGGTTTTCAAGCATGACGTGACAGAAGGAAGGCCTAAGCTTGCTGCATGGATAGAGGTACATTATAACCTGTACTGTTTAAAACTCTGGTTATTTAAACTAATTCGCCCGTGGCTATTTGTAAAACAGCAGAAACAAATATAGGTGATCATCAATTCAGAATTTCCCCCATGCTGGTTCCACTAAATGTCTTCATTTTTTGTTTCTTTGGCAGGAAGTGAACAAGATTGGTGTATACACCCAGACAAGAACTGATCCTCAGGAAACGGTTGACATTTTCGAGAAAAAGAAATTAATCAACATACAAACAATGCACGATTTAGTTTGAAACTGTCGTTGATTTCTGGCTTTCTCTTTGCTACTTTGCTAAGCTGTAAATTTCCGACTCCGCAGGCTCAACAGTGAATCCAAGATGCAAATTGTCCCCAGTAGTCGTAGAAGTGTCAGTTAAGTTATGCTGGTCCTTTGATCATCCGCCGGGTGGAGGATGGTGAAAGGACCTAGATTTCTTTTGTCGTATTTTGTTTCTTTGTGTAGTTTTCCTCTGTATTGTCTTACACAGTACTATGAAATTGGATGCGCCTTTCTTCTGCGGGAGAGGTTATGAATGGCTACTCTGTTATGATCTCATGGATAAGATCTTCAGTGCAGGTTATTCCATGCTTGCCTAGAGCCTAAGGGGTGCTCATCAGAGCGTGTTAGTAGCGCGCAATCCTTAATTTCAAATTATAGCCTCGCTTACAGCAAAGAAAACTAACAAACCTGCTCAATGAAAGCAACTCTCTGCTTGTCTACCTGACCATTACCCCTCTTGTAAATAAGTTCTCTCAACACTCTTGAGATTTGGGTAACAGAAACGAGACGGGTTTTGCTTTTAAAGAATGTAAACATCATAGGCAAAACGTCGATCACGGGAAACTTCCATACCCGTAAGTCCCATAAGGTCTGTGGCTTCACTGTTTTGTTAACTTTAAGGAATACACCATTGAAGATCTGTTCGAGAAGTCAAATAAGGAGGATTGCATTCGTCTGTTTGGTACGAAACATTAAAAACATGGGATTAGGATTATAATTAAGAAAAATTATTAAAATAGTACTACCTCCGATCCTAATTATAAGAGTTAGTTGACTAATTTAAGAAGATTAAGAAAGTAAGTTGAGTTGGTTATTTGTCCTAAATAGGTGTTGTCTTTCCTAAAATATCCTGGCAAATCAAGTGTATTGACTAGAACTATTATAGTTAGAAGAGCTACTTTGAAAAAAATGTATAAATATGAGAGACAAAGTGGATTGGAGTCTTATATTTAGGATCAAAATAAAAGTCAAACAGGGTCTTATATTAAGGACCGGAGGTAGTATTTAGTATGAGTAATTATTTGTTATATGAAATTAGACAAATTAATAGATGTGGGATTAGGGAATATCATTTCCTTTCATAGTATTTCCCAATCCCATATACATGGGTTTGGCTAGTAATTTACAACAAATAATCTCTTATGCTAAACATTGTTTTAGTAGATTTTCTCAATCTTAGTCTCAATCCCTATCCCTAATTTTCAATGCTTCCTGCCAAAGGATACCATAAAGTATTATTTCGGGTCCTTAATATAAGAGTTAGTAGACTAATTTGAATAGATTAAAAAAATTTGTTAAGTTAGTTATTTGTAATAATTATGTATTGTTTTCTCTAAAATATTATTGCTAATCATGTATTAGTTAAAACTACTATTTTATTGAACTTTTAACATGTAAAATTACTATAAGGACAACTTTAAAAAAAAAATAGATAAATATAAAAATAAAATAAATTAGGATTTTATATTTAGAATGAAATTAAAAGTCAAATTAGCTATTATGTTAAATACAATAGTATATGCGATATTTGCCTATACTATCTCTAAATCTATGTGAGAAAAATAACTTTTTGTTTTTCTATTACAATCTTTTATTATAATTTAATGTAAATGATTATTCATAAAATTATTTTTTGTTCATGTGTTTCTATTAATGAATATAAATATGTTAACGTCTATATAAGAATGAATGAAAAAAATAAAAAATGATAAAATTTAGGTTTTTTTGGAGCCGGAAATATGATAGATTCAATTTTCTAATCAAATTTTAGCACATAATTTTTTAAAATATTAAAAATTTCAATAGATAAAAAATATAAAATCATAAAATTTTATCAGATTTTTTTTTTTTAAAAGTTGCATGTAATAAGATTTTACTGGAGGAAATGGAACAACGTCATTGTTGTTCATCAATCTAAAATCTGAGTAAAGCACCCGATGCCTTTGCGTGATGATCGACGGATTACCTGAGAAATGAATGATGATGGAAAAGCCGCTTAAATACACAGATGGTCACCCCCGGCAGCGTCCGACGATCCCTGCAAGAACTCGACTTCAGAGCTTTTGGCTGCGTCATTCAGCATTGCACGGACCATGGTCTTGTTCGCCAAGCCAAGCAACTACATGCTCGCCTTATCCTGTTCTCAGTCACACCGGACAACTTCCTTGCCTCAAAGCTTATCACTTTCTACGCCAAATCCAACCACATCTCCGAAGCGCGTAGGGTGTTCGATGAAATTCCTCACAGAAATGTTTTCTCCTGGAATGCCATAATCATTGGCTACTCATCTAACGGTCTATTCCATCATGCGCTGAGGCTTTTTTCGTCTTTATCGTTCTCCGCCAGTGCGCAGCCTGATGGTTTTTCTATTACTTCTGTTTTGAAGGTGCTGGCTTCATTGTCTTTTAGTCCCACTTTTGGAAAACAGATTCATGGCTATGTTCTCCAACGTGGTTTGGATTCCGACGTTCCTGTTCTTAACGCTTTGGTTACATATTACTCCAAATGTGATCAGCTTGGATTCGCGAGGACTATATTTGACAGAATGCCCCGAAGAGATATTGTGTCGTGGAATGCTATGATTGCTGGGTATTCTCAAAATGGGTTTTATGAAGAATGCAAGCAACCGTACTTAGAGATGCTAGGTTCGACTGGGTTTAATCCTGATGCATTGACAGTTGTTAGTGTGTTGCAGGCCTGTGCTCAGTCAAACGATCTTAAATTCGGAATGGAAGTCCACCGTTTAATCAATGCGAATCAAATCAAGATGGATGTATCACTTTGCAATGCTCTGATCGGAATGTATGCAAAATGTGGTAGCTTGGATTACGCTCAGGAATTGTTTGAAGAAATGGGTGAAAAGGATGCAATTACTTATGTTTCAATCATTTCAGGGTATATGTTCTATGGGTTCGTCGACAAAGCCATGACTTTGTTCCGAGGAATGAAACATCCTGGGCTAAGCACCTGGAATGCTGTAATATCTGGTTTGGCTCAAAACAACCAGCATGGACGAGTCTTGGATTTAGTTCAAGAAATGCAGGCTTCGGGTTCTAGACTAAATACCATTACACTTTCTAGCATACTCCCTACATTTTCCTACTTTTCAAACCTGAGAGGAGGGAAAGAGATACATGCTTATGCTATCAGGAGAAGTTTCGACCAAACTACATACGTTGCGACCGCCATAATTGATACTTACGCAAAGTTGGGGTTTATCCATGGGGCACAACGGGTTTTTAATCAATCAGAATGTAGAGGCTTGATAATTTGGACAGCAATTATATCAGCTTACGCTTCCCATGGAGATGCTCGTTCGGCCCTCATTCTCTTTGGTAAGATGATAAATAGCGGAGTTCATCCTGACCCTGTGACATTAACAGCAGTACTGGCTGCTTGTGCTCACTCTGGACAAGTGGATGAAGCTTGGGAAATCTTCAACACAATGTCCTTTAGATATGGAATTCAGCCCTTGGCAGAGCACTATGCTTGCATGGTGGGTGTTCTTAGTCGAGCTGGTAAGCTCTTGGAAGCAGCAGACTTCATTTCTCAAATGCCATTTGAGCCAAGTGCTAGAGTTTGGGGTGCTTTACTGCATGGGGCTTCAGTTTACGGTGATGTGGAAATGGGCAAATTTGCTTGTGATCATTTGTTCAAGATTGAACCAGAGAATACTGGGAATTATGTAATGATGGCAAATTTATTTTCGCAAGCTGGAAGATGGGAAGAAGCTAATGCAGTTAGGGGGGAAATGGAAGAGATAGGATTAAAGAAGATTCGCGGTAGTAGCTGGATTGAAACAAGTGGAGGATTACTAAGCTTCATCGCTAAAGATGTTTCGAATGAAAGATCTGACGAGATTTACACATTGTTGGAAGGATTGCTCGGATTAATGAGAGAAGAAGGATATATTGTGCAAGAAGTATTAGATGATGAAAGTGCTTTTATTTGACAACTAAAATATGGCCATTAGTCTAGCATTACAAACTCCTTGCCCCCGGGGGGGGGGGGTCATTTTACTCAGTTTGGCATGCCTGAAAATAGATCGCTTAACTATTGAGGTAGTTTTTATGGGAAAACTAGCAAGCCCCTCTATCTGAGGACACAACAAGGATGTCAAGCTTTGTGCTTCACTTGACAAAGAACTTCGCTTAACAAACTTTATGCCCAGTGATTACTTGTTTTATGCACCAAAAGGGGAAGCACCAACCCCAGCAGACTCCCGCTTCGTTATACTTGGGTTTTCCCAACTGAGTTTATCACCGAGTTCTCAAATTTGTTTCCTTTTTAGAAGTTAGCTTGTGTTGGTTTTAAAATTGAAGAATAAATATAGAAAATGATTTAAGCTTTTAGGACTTTCAACTTATATACAGAATTATATATTGGTTTTTCCAGCTTAGTATTTGAGATATCTAGCTTGATTTTTTTTTCTTCTGTGGGTCCATGGTATTTTGGTGAATTAATCTTTTAATGCCAAATAAGGGCCAAGTTTTTTAAGTAATATTTTAAAATTTTAAGGTTACAGAATGTCTTTTATCTTATTTGCTCTAATTTCTAAACATGTCTCAAAAATGAAAAAAATTACGATGACCTTTGGCGAAATTATGCTCCTAATTTGCCTACCCAATCATCACTTCCGATAGCTCCTCCAGGCGTGCTGCGCCCCTTCTGCGGTTCAATGTCTCACCACAACGGCACAACCTCTTTTATCTTCGAAGCCAATCTTTAATACTTTTTTAGACTTGCTAAATATAAAACTTATTTTATATTATAATTTATATTATAAAATAAATTTTATATTTAGAATTAGAGAAATGTTTTATATATAGTTTATGTTTTTTGTCATCCGTCGTGGTCAGGGATAAGAAAATATTTATATTAAATATTAAATAAAATATTTATTATTAAGTACTATTTCCAGTCTCAAATATAAAAGCTAATTAATTAATTTAAATAAACTAAAAAATAAGTTAAATTAATTATTTATAATAAATATGTGTTGTATTTTTTAAAATATTCTTACTAATCGGTTAAAACTATCATTATTATCTTAGAAAAATAGATAAATATAAGAGACAAAATGGATTAAGATTTTATATTAAGGACTAAAATAAAAATTAAACGATATCTTATATTAAGAATTGAAAATAACATTAGGCTTTTTCTATTCTTTTTTATGGTTTTTTTGGCGTTTTAGACGAGCACACATTAGTATTTATTTATGAAATAATAATAAACACGATTGCGCGGGGAAGAGCTCCGTGAAGAACTGGAGGGAAAGGCAGTTTACCGGGAAATATTCAGTGTTCGATCTTGAAAAAATTAAAATAAAATAATAGCCCCATCTCTCTCTTTATGCTTTGTCGGATTCGCATTTGTTGAGGCAGCCGAATATGGCGGACTTCGGTTTCAGTCTCCTCCACAATTTCGAACCCATGAGGTACGTAAATATATGTCGCAAAGCGGCACATAATTGTCCTTACTGGCATATCCATGCGTCTTGCAATCCTAAAATATCGCCACTTGTTGGATCGAAATTTGAAAATTTCTTCGTCTCTGTGACTTTACCGTTTCTGGCTTGATCTCGAGAGTGCGCCAATTCTTGGTATCAGCTACTTTTGCCTTCAACTAAGAACACACGATTGGTTTATTGATTTTTACGATTAATTAGAGTTCATCGTATGAGGTCTGGGGTCCGTTTCGGTGATCATTGAGAAGTTGGAAGTATAGGGGTAGGATTAATGTCATATGCGTTTGACGGCACCTACAGTGGCTCTAAGGTCTGAAATGTGGTAGCATTCTGATATTGGTTCAACCAAAAGCTATGGGCAGTAGAACTACATCAGTTCTTGAAGTATGTTGTTGTCCTTACTGAGTAAACGTTCATTGGAGGTTGATTCTAGGTAATTGACCCTGTAAAGATTCGCATGTGTACATTGCCCCAGGTCATAACAGTGCTTGTATGTTCCTATGTCGTCGCTCTACTTAAAAATTCAACTTGAATTCATTGTTTTACACCCTATTTGCTGGCGACCTGCCGTATCCCTCCCCCCTTCTGGTATTTAAGAAACGCTCGGTAATGTTTTGGCTCTTTTCTTCTATTGTGCCAATGAGTACGCATCTACGCCTGCAGGGATTCATATGGATTTGCATTAAGACCTCAACACGCACAAAGTTACAGACAGTATGCTTCTATCTACAAGGTATCTGTAACTTTTGTTTATGATTCTCAGTTCTTCTGTATCAGGTTTAATATTTCAATCCCATAAAATAAAGGCAAGTGCACCCATTTTAGCAATATTATTAGCCTGTAATCAGAAAGTTGTGAGTTTTCTTATGAATATTTTTGAATAAAATAAATCCATTTGCTTACAAGTTACAATTAGTATAATAAAATTTAACACTCCCACTTTTGACTCAAATAATTGAAATAGTGACAAGGTTTTTGTTTAACTGGTAATGACGAGATAATGGCCACAATGACCAGATCAAAATAAATGACACCAACCTATGAAATTAACTTCATCTCGTTATGCTTGATGTCATGTCTCATATGAAAATAAAATTCTTCTTGTATGTAACTTTTACTGGAAAGACGCATATTTTGTGTACATGATATCAGGAGGAGGAAGGTGAAAGGGCGGATAAATGGAGAGGCTTCCTTGAACAGATAGTCAAATCATCTCAATCATGTTCTTCTGAGAATAAGCTCGAAGAAATATCTAAAGCTAAGGGTAGTGAGATTAAAGAAGGGACAGGTTCCAGTATCAGGAAGTCTTGTGAAGGGACTGAGTTAGAAGAAGAGGTAAGCGCAGAGAGGGTAAGTGAAGGAAATGATTTGAGTTTGGAGAAATATTGTGAAGGGACTGAGATAGAAGAGGAGAGAGGTGCAGAGTGGGTAAGTGAAGGGAATGATTTGAGCGGGAGGAAGTCTTTTAAAGGTACTGAGATAGAGGACGGAACAAATCTAGAGAGGCAAAGAGAAGCAGAGGAGTTAAGTGACAGGAGGGCTGCTGAAGGTACTGAGATTAAAGAAGGGAAAGAAGGGACAATTCCAGCAAGGGTTAGTGAAGGGAATGATTCAATTGGCAAGAAGTCTGTTTCTGATGGTTCATCAGCAAGTAGTTCTGAAAAGGAGGTGCACTGTCCAGAAGAAAGAAAGGCCCGTAAGGTTCAAACCTGGAATGAAATTAGGCCTTCTCTTGCTGCCATTGAGAAACTCATGAGTAATCGTATCAATAAAGTAAAGAAAATTGAAGTTGGGCAGACAAATGTTAAATATGATAATTTTCCATCTATAGAAGAGTCTAAATGTCTAGAAGTGGTGTCTGAGGACGTCGTTGAGGAAAAGGCCTGCATGCAAGAGATGCTAGATAGCAATATCAATGACTTGAGGGAAGGAAATGCTTTAAAGGATCATGACTCACCTGATTTTTACTCTCAGCTGAAGGAATTGGAGACCCTAGTCCAGGGAGGAGTGCCAAAGGATCTCAGAGGAGAGGTATAATTGATGTTTTCTAGTTCATCAAGCCACTTCTTATTTTTATGAGGGGTAAAAATGCAGAGTCTTCTCTACAATGTTGTTATTGTAGGTATGGCAAGCATTTGTAGGAGTGAAGACACGTAGGGTGGAAAGCTATTATGAGGATCTGTTGGCTCAAGAAACTGACAGTAGTGAAAGGAAGGAGCAGGATGATTCATCTGGTGCATTAGGGAAATGGAGAAAGCAGATTGAGAAGGTCATTAGCTGCATGCGCCTTGGACTTTATTTTGATTTGTAGGTGCTGTTTCTTTTGCTTTACATTGCAAGCTGGCTTTCTCCTTAGAATAATCATACTTTTTATTCACAGGATATACCAAGAACTTTCCCAGGACATCCTGCTTTGGATGAAAATGGCAGGAATTCCTTAAGGCGTTTACTCCTAGCATATGCTCGGCACAACCCCTCTGTTGGTTACTGTCAGGTAACTGTGGTCCAATATTTGTTGATAAGTTTAGCTGCTGCTACATCGTTTTCATCTTCAATGGACTTTTTATATAATTTCCTTCTGAAGAAATTATTTTCTACAGAAGCCAGAGAGTTTAAATAAACTGAAATAGTTGATGCCATTGGGCAAATCAAACATAATATACCTGGATGTTCTTTTTGGATATTTTCCTTTACTTCAATGGAATTTTTGCCATTTATGATTAATCTAGCCTTTATATACACTCATCAGGCTCTGGCAAGGTTATAATAGATATCCCCTCTCTTTTTGGGGAGTTATGTTAATGTTATTCATCAACATCTTTATTGGTGGTAGTTATCATTGTTGTTGTCATCACCATAACCATTGTCATTATATTTTCTTGTTATCAAAATATCTGCAGGCAATGAACTTCTTCGCTGGTTTGTTGCTGCTTCTTATGCCCGAGGAAAATGCATTTTGGTGAGTTTGAGAAACTTTTCTCATGTATTTTCCCCCAGTAAACCCCCCATTCCAGCATAAATAGCTCTCTGGTCTGGACTATATTTAAATAGAGGATGCTTCCGAGCAGACATTAACTGTTTCAGGGAGCATACTTGCGTTAGGTTTATCTTTTGGTAATTGATTGGAAGGAACACGCAATTTTTAAAAATAATTTTTAGTTTTCCATGAACTCATTGTATTTCTTTATACAGAACGCATGGTTTTGTCTTGTGTTTATGAACTAATTCATTTTTATGGGATCTCAGGGCATTGGTGGGCATTATTGATGATTATTTTGAAGGTTATTATACAGAGGAAATGGTAGAATCCCAGGTGTGGTTATATTTATTCCCGACAGAGTTAATTATTTCCTGAGATAGGGACTTAGGATTATATATTTGTACATAGTTTTAGCTATAGCAGGACTCAGTTATTCATTTCGGCAATCACAGTAGTTTTTGTTTTTTCAGGTAGACCAGCTTGTCTTTGAGGAATTAATGCGTGAAAGATTTCCCAAGCTGGGTTTGTACATATTAGATTTGCTTTGTAGTAATCTTCTTTAATTGGCCTATGAAGCACTTAGGACAGCTTTTTATTCCATTGATGCTTCTGGTGCAGTTAGTCATCTGGATTACTTGGGAGTGGAGGTGGCCTGGATAACTGGACCCTGGTTTCTATCAATCTTTGTAAACATGATTCCTTGGGAAAGTGGTTAGATTTACGTGAAGATTTCTCGCTCTACCTCTCTCTCTCACCCACACACACTCACACTTGCATACACGTTCTTTCTTGTTTCTGCAGTGACCTATAACTTGTTATTTCTAAAGCTTCCGACCTTATGGAGGGTTTTCTCTGTATCTAGTTCTTCGAGTTTGGGATGTGTTACTATTTGAAGGGAACCGTGTAATGCTATTCCGGACAGCCCTTGCTCTGATGGATTTATATGGTATTGAATTGTAATTTCCTGTCCTTGAGTCTGAGCTGTGGAGAATAATGTGCCCAGTAAATTAACATCAATGTTACAATTTTTTATTTCTTGCTCTAGGTCCTGCATTGGTTACGACAAAAGATGCAGGTGATGCAATTACTCTATTGCAATCACTTGCCGGCTCAACATTTGATAGCAGTCAGCTCGTCTTTACTGCTTGTGTAAGTTTTCTAGCTGTGACCGAGGCCAGATTACAGGAACTGAGAGAAAAGCATCGGCCATCTGTACTAGTTGTTGTGGAGGAAAGGTCTAAAAAGGGGCGAGTCTGGAAGGATTCCAAAGGGCTTGCATCTAAACTGTACAGTTTCAAGCATGACCCAGGATCACTGGTAGAAGAAATGAAAACCAATGAAGGAAATGATATGGAAAATGTTGGCGACAAATCACAGTTGGAATCCCCTTCCTCCAACTTGGATGAACTGCTCAATAGCCTCAATGTTGATTCGGAAGTAGATTCTCTTCCAGATCTCCAGGAACAGGTTGCTTCCTTTACATGTTACCATTGAATTAGTTGAAATTCATCTTCCACTAAACTTTTCTTCTCTTAAATTCATCATAGAATTTTATTCATGACATGAAGGTTCGTTTCCTGTCTTCCTCCAAAAAATTCAGGTCATATTGGATTATGGTAAGAGTGTCTTGAACTGCATACAATACATTGAATAATCAGATATTGCATATTCTGGTCTGTGAATAAATTTTCTCTAGGTCATAGCATGCCTAAATAGTTAGGTTAAACATTTTCTCTATAGTTAGATATTGTTTGATGTCTCTGTTCACATCATATTAGTTTATCCACTTCCACCCGAAAGATTGAAAAGGCATCACTTGTATGGTTATGGGTCTTCTTCTCTGTAAGCATCTAGGCTTTTCTTGGTCTTTTAATGGTTGAGATTATTCCTCTGTGCAGGTGGTTTGGTTGAAGGTCGAGTTATGCAGAATGCTAGAGGAGAAAAGATCTGCTATAATCAGGTTGTCAAGTGCTGCATTATTGTTCTGCCTATGAATTTAATTTTGTTTTCTTCATTTACAATGATGATTGTCGACCTTAAAGATCTAATACTTAAACAGAAGTTCATTGTTCATTCTTTTTGGCATTTGATGTCCTGTTTTCTATTTTTGTTAACCACTCCGCGCTGCATTCTTTTCCTCTTTTTGTTGTTCATGTAGAAGTTACAACAAAATCATGCCTTATTAAGGTCATGAACTAATCTGTGTGTGACCCCGTCTTTTAACAGAGCGGAGGAGCTAGAAACAGCGCTTATGGAGATGGTCAAGCAAGATAATCGACGGGAACTGAGTGCCAGGGTAAATCTAACATTTGGATGAATGCTATGCTTATTGAAGATGTTAAAACAGAAAAATACCATGTTCCCTTGCCCTCTTACCTTAAAAATATTTGAATCATTAAAAGATTTAAATACATATCTAGACTTATTACTGCTAATGTTGGTGTGCAATCAGCTATCATGTATGAGCCCACGGTATTCACTAAGTTATGAATACATGTATATCTGAATCAATAGTGTTGCCATGATCCATGGTGTTTAATGTGAACAGATAAGGAAATAAAAATTCAATGCGATATTTGATTTCTTAATTCTCTCATTGGCGGAGAGGACTTTTACTTATTCAAGAAAACATGCTGCATGGTCTAGGAAAAGCTAGTTCAATTCAAGTATAACTACGATTCCATTTCTTTAAAAGCTTTGATAATCAATTGACTTGTAAGGTTTGCAAATATGTTCATAATCATCCAGGTCGAGCAATTAGAGCAGGAGGTAGCTGAGCTACAACAAGCCCTTGCTGATAAGAAATTACAAGAAACCGCCATGCTGCAGGTTCTGCTGTGCTCCTGTTTTCTGCAGCGTCTTTTCATAAGTTTGACCCATGAAAAATAATTATTAAAAACCAGAAGCTTCTTCCTTGATAGCGCTAGTCGTCCTTCTTCATGCAGGTGCTAATGCGGGTAGAGCAGGAGCAAAAGGTTACTGAAGATGCTCGCAGAAGAGCTGAGCAAGACCTTGCTGCTCAGAAATATGTAGTTCATATGCTTCAGGTAACCCCACATATAATCTTTGGGTGATCTTAGTTAATTGATTGATTTTCATGTTTACTATAGATCAGAGTTCAGTTCTGAATTGAAAATTTGTTTTGAAAAATTTTTGTTGACAAAATCAGCTGCTCGATTTGCTCTGCCAGCCAACTTGCGGATTTTGTCCTTCACTTGTATATCATCATGACCGAGAAAAATAATTATTATTTTTATTCTACTAATAATCTGATCAGGAGTCGGGACTGTCTATGGTTCCATCTATAAATAAATCTGACCCTTAAAATTTTAGCCCACTGACATCTGATTTTATTCATTTAATGGCAATTGCTTAGTAAGATCAGGTTCATCGAGCATATGTTGTTTCATGCCTGATGCTGCTCTTCTGTAGTTTCATGTGCAACTATGTAAAATATTCCAGTTTGTTTTTACAGATGATTTTGGATGCAAGTATGAGTAGTTGAGAAATAAAGAAGCTGAACTATTGTAAATCAAAGTATATGAGCTATAAATTTTCTCTCGACAATATCATGGAAATGGAAATATTCTTTACATTTCGTTGTATTTATTTTATAATGTGGTGTGGATGAACGTGTGGTTGAACTTCATTATTTCTCAAATATTGTTACATAATATCTTTTCCCACTTCGTTTCTATTGTAATAACCCAGCACATGAATCCATTGAAGAGCTTTCGAATAATATGGTTACATCTATTTCCAAGAGAAAGTGATCACATTGATTTGAGGATCTTGCTCTGAAGACACGTTGTATTAAATATCTTACAAGACATGACTGTATCCATTCCCAGTATTATACATACGCAGGAAAAGTATGATAAAGCCATGGCATCGATCAAGGAGATGGAAAAGCGGGTTGTTATGGCTGAAAGCATGTTAGAGGCCACCCTTCAATATGAATCTGGGCAATCGAAGGCACTTTCTCCAAGGTGCTAGTTTTTATCTATCACATATATCAATTGAAAATTAAGGATTGTGGATTGATACATGCAACATTGGACATGCTAATTTTTTGTTGACATCAAATTTCATAATAGTTTCTTGAACCTATACCTTCACGTTTCAAAAATACCATGTGTCAATTTATTGTTGGGAACAGGCGTTCCTGTATTACTCAGTGCGTCCATTCTGTTGCACTGAAATTTGATGTAGGTCACAGGGGTTTGCCATATTAATCACATGATTTTTAGCAGCTTCTTGTACCAAGAGCAAGTTGCATATTATTAGAAACCCCTTTCTCTCAGATAATTTCATAGAGCAAATTTGTGTAGGGGCGATCGGTTACCAAGCCCAAGAATTGAAATACCCCCGCCAAAATTACGTCTACTAAATTTTGGACTGGGTTGGCGTGACAAAAACAAGGTAATATCTATTTTTCCATTCTGTATCTCCCAGCAAGTGACCTAGTGATATTCAAGTATTGCTCGTGATTACAATTATGAATTGCTAAATCTAATTCAGAGCATACCCAAATCGATGGCGTGCCAACACGAATTGGTTTTTCCTTGATACCAAATTTCACTTAGATGCACTCTGTACTTCTTATGCATGTTTGTAAATGTTGTTGTAAAATTGTTTCTCGTATATCCAATGAAACAGGGCAAGCCGACTAACGAAGAGGAATGCAGCGAAAGTCAGTCTAACGACGAGGAGCAGACGCCGTCACTACCAGCAGGGAATTCCATAACCAAGGACAAGATGGATACATAGCAGTGCCATCTTGACTGATTACATGGAAATTCACCCTTTTTTTCAAATTATTACTACAGCTCCCTTCGGTAATTTGGTGGCTATGGTGTCTAAACCGGGGGAACTATCCTTTTGTATCATCTTCAAAATCCAATGGATAAATTAATAATCTATCCTGTTATCTACTTTAGTCAGTCGTACAAATATGAGCAGTTTTGGCAGGGGAAAAACTTGTATGCAGTTCTTTATCGTTGTTATTATATTATTTTTTTAAAATTAAACATGGTATGTGTATAATAAATGTATCATTTTTTTAAAAAAATTGAATTACATATTTATCATGTTTTTATAAGAAGATCCGTTTTATTCGTTTTAATTAGAGAATATGATGACATTGCCATAAAGAATTACATAGCTTACTCAATTTTTTTTTTTTGTAACATGATAATCACATGCGTTAGCTGTTATTATCGTCATCAATCACTATACACAAAATTTATGGAAAGCCACTCTATAAATGATAAATAATGTAGAATATAATGTCCAAATTTCACATCTCGTTCTACCGTATTAAAGCAAATTTCACCTATAAAACGTTGAAATTTGATATCCTTTCCATAATTTAATACATACCATTCAATATATCTTGAACTGTATCCGGAGTCTTTTTGCTATTTATTTATACTCTTCTGGTTTTTAATATAAGATCTAATTATTAAATTGATTTTTATCTTAAATATAAGACCTATTTCTTATATTTATCAGTTTTTTTTCAAATTATCTTTATGGATACTTCCTCAACTATAATCAAGTAGAAAAGGAATGAAGGATATTAAAAAAAATGATTATGGTGTTTTAGAAAAAACATGTCATATTATTATAATTAACTAATTTACTTGACTTCTTTAATTTAATCAAATTAGTTAAATGGTCTTATATTAAAAACATGTGGAGTATTATCTAATTTTAGTGAGAATAAATATTTCAGAGTACTACCTCCTGTCTTAAATAAAAAGACTAGTTTCTAGTATAAATTACATTTCAAATTAACTTTTCTATCTAGGACGCGACGTAATATTTTATAGGAAAGAAAAATTCATTATAACAGTTGAGATGTAAAAGTGGTTCACCAGATAACTACCAAATGAATTTGACCCTAAATATAAGACTTAATCTGCTTTGTCTCTCATATTTATTTTTTTTTCAAAATAGTCTTCACAATAATTGCATATATTAAATGTTTCATCAAATAATAGTTCTAATTAATACAAATCTTTAGCAAAAGTATTTTAAGAAAAATAATAATTATTTATTATAAATAACTAACTTAACTAATTTTCTTAATCTACTCAAATTAATAAACTACTCATTTGGTCCTATTTATAAAGCAAAAAGAAAAAGCATTTTTAATCATATTTATAAAGGACTGAGATTTTTTTATATGAATATACAATTTTACTTTTCATTTATTATTGTATTGATTTTGTATTAGATAAGGATAAAATTAAAAAATTGTTGAATTTTAAATAAGAACGAATAAAACTTAAAAAAAATTTCTTTTGTTTGTATGAAAAAGTTAAAAGTGATTTATAAATAGAAAAATAAATAACTCTTATATTAAAAACCGAATTACATCACAAATAAATAAGAATCCACAGTCACGATGAAGGGGGGAAACAATCTACATAGAGATCCAACAAAGAACTCAACGTGCGAGCTTTCTTTGTTGGTATAAAAACTACTCAGAGCTTCATAACCTACAAATATAGCTTAACTATACAACAGAACCAGGATAAATAAGTAGAAGCAAATACTCCTTTAGAATGTCGATACACGGGGAAGAACTACTGCCCAGACAAGACACTTAAATAATGAACCCAGCTCTTAAAAGGTGACTTGAGGTTAAAAAAACAGGTAGGAATACTATATTGGCTCCGTTAAGGAAATAAGAGCAATTGTGTGCATCCTTGTAACAGGAATAGAACAAAATTTCAGTCTTCTTCTCAACCTATACTCCAAACTGAGAGAACACCACCAAATGACAGCAGGTATTAACGTATGTAAACCTATGTATTGCAGAGTGTTGTTTGAAATATTGTACAGATGATCTCATAACCAGCATTGAGGAGCATGTCACTGCCGCCTCTTGGTTCTAGGAGTGGCCGGAGAGAGGCGAGACCCCTGGAGTGATTGCGTACTTGGGTCATATCTTTGTGAAGCAAGATAAGTCAAAGCTGTGACAACATCAGCTATAACTGGACGCATGTTAGCCTGCTCCTGAACACACATCGCAGCAACTGCAAGGGCCTGGCATAGGCCCCTTGAAGGATACTGACCTTCGAGCATTGGATCCGCCATTAGTGAAAATTTTCGTTGATCTTTAAACAAAGGTCTCGCCTGCGATAAAAATGCCCCACATCAAAATTACTACTTTTATTTTAGCCAAGGTCAATGTCTAAAATGAGTTAAATAATACTTGGAAGCACAAAATTGCCCATAACTCTAACGACTCTACTAGCTTCATTTAGTTACTGGATTTGCCATGGGAATAAAAGCATAAAACACTAATATTTCACAAAAGCATCCAAACCCCGCCAAAACTATGGAAAACTAGCTAGATAAATAAAACAGCATCAGCTCAAGAGGGTAATGCAACCAGAATTATTTCTCTAACCATTGTCCATATTTATTTAGATATCATGCGCTGTTAGTTTTGTTTACGAAGCGAGTAAGAACCAAAAGTGATCAATTACCACAGATTTTCAAGCATGGGTATGATTATCAGTTATGCAGGTAAAACTTTACAAGCATGATAAATGCGTACGGGCCTACCCCTTTCCATTCAACCAGGCATATTCACCGGAAGGTCAACCTGATTTTTTGACTATTTCCTATGCTCTCCAGTAGCTCTTGACTTATCAACCAACCCTATTAGATATGACAAATGGAGAAGTTACTTACCCATGCCACAAGATTCTGTTCTCCCGCAGCCTTTGAATTGTCAATAGCTTTCCTTCCAGTAATTATTTCCAGAAGAACTACACCAAAGCTATAGACATCTGATTTCAGAGTCAGTTGTCCTGTCATTGCATACTCTGGAGCACAATAACCGTAGGTTCCCATAACCCTCGTTGACACGTGAGTGTTCTCCCCAACTGGTCCAAGCTTGGCCAAGCCAAAATCAGATAACTTTGGATGATACCCTTCACCAAGCAAAATGTTTGAGCACTTCAAATCTCGGTATATGACAGGAGGGTTAGCTTTGTCATGCAGATATTCCAACCCTTTTGCTGCCCCAGCTGCTATTTTCATTCTTGTATTCCAGTCGAGACACTTCTTGCCAGGAGAAACATCTGTAAATCAAGCATTTACCTCTGATCATTATCTACTGGGAAATAATGCAAGTTTTAAAGAAAAAATGTTTGTAGTTCTGGATATAAATACCATGCAAGTGGTCTTCCAAGGACCCTAATGGCATATATTCATAAACTAAAAGCCTTTGATCTCCATCAGCACAATAACCAATGAGGCTGACAAGGTTAGGGTGGTGTAGTAGACTTAACATCAACACTTCAACTAGGAATTCTCTATTTCCTTGCAGCCCATTTCGGTCAAGTTGCTTAATTGCAACAACCTAAATCCAAAACTAGAAAGGATGAATTACGTTGCTGACTTAAACTACACTGATTTTAACCTGAAATGCAAAAAGAGAAAACTCAAAAGCAACTACTTTGACAACCAGAATACAGCAATGCAGAAAAGGAGAAAATGATTTATAACAAGCAAAAGTAGGCTTCACAGCTCTATCCTGCACTAGACGAGCTAAAAGATAATTTGGAATCAAACTTACCTGATTATTACTTTCCAAGCGCCCTTTGTATACTCTTCCAAAACCTCCCTCACCCAGCAAGCATTCAGCTCTAAAATTTCTAGCCGCCGTAGCCAACTCACGAAATGTGAAAGTCTGTGCTGCTATGTGATCAGGGTTCCCACTTTTAGAGGTATCCTTGGAATTTGTAGATGAATTCCTCTTCAACTTCCCTGTACACATGTTTAAACATTTGAGGGGGAAGATGCAGGAGCCACGGGATGTCTAGTTTTGACTTCTAAGAGCGTTCCAAATCCATTACTTGGAATTATGAAAACAGTACAAAGCCCCTTTTATTGTCCAAGTCCAAAAGTAACTAAAGATCATTTAAATCTCAACCACAAACTGGTTCTGCCACAAAGGACGCATCGCTCGAAACCACATCAGTAAATCAAATTTAAGCCAGAGACATTTTATAAACGAGAGCATCACTAGGGCAATGTTGCAAGTAGGAAAACTGACAGTAGTACAGGGAAATTCACTAGCTCGGGGGCTACTGTAAGTTGTAGCTAAGAGCATCACCTATTTAAGACATAGATCAAAGGAATGCATCCAATATAAGGATTGAAATGAAAGAAAAATCCCTGAAATTTGACTCTACTCTTGATGAGCATAAAAGACCACACGAATTGATAAAAACTAACATATTATAAGTATGTAGATTTCGGCCCCAAAAGAAAAAAGTGATAAGACAGGCTAGCATAAACTGCCAAATCCCATGTTTCTTCATCTGGGAGCTTAGCATGTCGTGAACCGCAATCGGGTAAACCAAAAACATAAACAAAACTCCTCAGTTTTGATTTTCGCACGAAATCCCAGAAAAAGCAAGCGATTAATCAGTAGAAAATTCATATGGTGCCCCAAATAACTTCATTAAGAAGACGCGACAGAAATCAAGTGAAAGCATGATTGTCACAATCATGAACCTTTTGAAGGTTCTCTTTTTTCCACGCTACAATAATTGTGTCAGTCAGTACCTGGGGCTGCTTTTATCGGATCAATCATGTTCTCCTGCACCTCCGTTTTCTTCGTCTGCTTCTTTGTCTTCTTCTTAGTGTTTGAATTTCCAGAACAGGGAATCCAACCCATGTTTCACTATTCCCTTCTTTCTCTCCAGAGACGCAGGTACTAGCTGAAAAATCGACTACCCCGATTCACAGCGTGAGACTTATAGATGACCCGACACTGACCACAGGCTGCTCGGGCAACCACAATTGGAAAAGAACCTGCTTGGTTCTTGCCTCTCTCTCTTTCGGCCCCGCTATTTTATCGTTTCTGTTCGGGAATTGTCTAGTGCTTGTCGTATTCTTTTCAAGTAAAATTTTTTTTTTATTTCCCCCCGAAAAATCGTCATTGGCATCATTTTGGTCGGACAAATTCAATGTTTGGTGTGAAAAGAACAAGGAACGGTCCAATGTTCTACGAGTTGGATTGATTCAGTAAAGTAATAGAGATATCATCATATCAATTTGAAATTTGCTGACATGTAATCAGATCAAATTACAACAAAATTAGTCCTGATTAAATTGATTTATATTTATGTTAATTGCATTACATTAATATTTAACCTTATTCAGGCAAAAAAAAAAATATTTAACCTTATTTACATTAGTAATGAATTTTTTTTTTAATCTGAACGTTAGTAATAAATATTTTTCCTGCGAACAAGTTTGCTAACAAATAGAGGATTTAACTCTCTCTCTCTCTTGTTTTTTTTGAATGAGTTTGCTGCAATATTTTACTGAAAAAACATTGCATGTTCTTCATCTTCTTCCTCTTAGCATGACAATTTAGTTAAAAGCTTGACATTGGTTTCAATTAGTTTTTGATTGACTCCTTCAAACAAAAACGTCATTAAATGATGTCATCCGAGTACATAATGCTTCCGCATTAAAATGCTTGCATTGCCAAAGCATCAAACATTGACTTTTCTATTTGTTTATTACTCGCATAAAATAGCATGCTAACCACTACGGGAAAAAAAGAGGGAATAACGAGATGCTTGCTTCTATGGTTCTTTGAAAAAAACCATGTCTAAATCTAATATTGCAAAGGTAAGCCAATCATTGTACTTTTGTGCTCCTCTGAAGAGTTCAACCTTCTACAAAAGAACTGGTCTGACTACTAACAGCTGTGGACAACGAGACATTCCTATAATCATCACAAGGTGGGCCTCATAAACCATACCATTTTCAATACCAACAGAAGTTTCTCCCTGCCGTTCTAAATGAATCTGATAAGCAATTTGTAGATATTCAGATAATTAATTTAGCTAGTTGTTTTGTTAAAAACGTATGTTGATTTTTCTGAAACAGTCTCTTTAGTTATTTATTTATATTAGAACAACCTCTTAGTGAAAATTTTTAATATGTGCAATAAATAGTAATAGTTGAAAAAAAATTACAATTTTGGGAGATAAAATAAGATATGAGATGAAAGTTTACTTTCTAATTAACCCTTAAATTTAGAATGGAAGAAAATGGTTTTTTAAGGCATTTGTTGTTTTCGTATAGTATCATTTTTAACCACTGGCTGGTTTCTTCAATTTTTGTCAAAAGAAGGCAAGCAAAAACCAGAGCCTGGATAAGGTTGCCACCTGAAAGGTCCATAATCAAATAATTTCATAAGTGGGGCAATTCCTGTTTGTTACTATTTCACATTAATTCATCTCGCCGACTAACCTTAAAGGGAAAACATGTTTCATTTCTTTTATTCTTTTCATTAAAAATGTGTCATGTTTCATTTTCTTTTATTCTTCTAAGATTTAGTAAATGCTGACAGACATATTAACTAGCTTCTTCAAACCATCAGGGGACAGCTGGCTACCATTAAAAGCCAAACAACTTTAAATTTTAAACATTTTGACCTCATGTTTTTATGTCACTCCACATTCTATCTCTCACTTTATTTCTTTTTTGCAAGAAGTAAATAAAGATAAAATTAAAAAACGATTATTAAATATTTTACAAGTGATTTAAATTTAGAACAAAAATATCCTCTATAAATAATTTGTAATAAGAATCGGAGTGTTTATATAATAATGTAAAGAGATCATTAGGGCCTTAGGGGTGATAAAGTTGGTCGGGCCTTCCGAAGCAGATCCGAGTAGCGCGTTGAAAAATTTGTCTAGTCACAAGAAGTGCCGAGCACAATTTACCATATTAATCAATTAAATTTGACCTTTTAACATATAATTTTAATTTATAAATATAATGTTTTTCAGACATTCATATGCTTACGAGTTAGGACTTATAGTCCCGTTTAGTACGAAGTAGTTGAAAATGAAAAATAGATAAGAATTGCAATTAAAAAAATAATTAAAAAAGTTTTTAACATAAGTAATTGCTTGTTACATGAGTTTAAACAAACTATAAAAATAGGATTGGGAAATATTACTTCCCTCCATAGTATTCTCCAATCCCACATATATAAATTTATCTAATTCTATATAATAAGCAATCTCTTATACTAAACATTATTTTCTTAATCTCAATTCTAATCTCAATCCCTCATTTCCAACATTTCGTACCAAATAATACCTATCAGTAGTTATCAAGCAAAGCAACCTACGCTTGGAACAATCGATACATGTATTTCTTTTATTTCGCCCATAACCTGTTCCGAGGCTATTCACAAACTTTTTAGGAAAAAAGAAAAGAGAAAGAACGAACGATGAAGTTAAACCATGTAAAAATTAGATACCTTGTTCTTCCTATAAATATGATCTAAAATAACATTTCAATCCCTAACTAACATGCAATTAACGTTGTCAATAACATATCCAAAACAAGTAACAAATACACTCAGCAAACGGGATAATTGGGATAAGAAGCCCTTAAAACTTGATCCACAGTTGAACCAAATGAGCAAAATGAGTTCACCATCAATTCTAAATAATGAGCTAATTCTTACTGACAAGAACATTCAGACAATAGGGTACACAACATGCCTTATAACACTAAAACAGCAAGACAAATAAATATAAGGCATCTTATAAACCTCCAGATTAGCGGAGGGATGGTAGACCTGAAAAATTAGGCAAGAGAGGAAAGAATCTACTGATACAGATATCATAACAACATCTTATATGGTCATTGGCACCATAATACAAATTCCATTTTCATATTCCAACGTCGTTTTCTGGTGAACTTGAAGACTGCAATAGTGGATTCTACCGTTCTTTCCCCGTTGAAGAGCTATTCATGGCTTGACTTTGTCAGAGGCCACAGCACCTACAGTTTTGCGTGGCATCTCATGGTTGTGTTTCCCCTCATATGTAGTGATAAATGCTTTTGGGTCATCAATTGATTTTTCCACATGTTTACGGGCGCTGCACTTTATGTTAGTGCATCTATAATAACTTCTGCAATACAAATTTGAATTGCATCAGAAGCTGGAAAACACACATAAGTGAACAAGAAAGCAAGATTTTGGGTTTTGCCCTTAGAACAAGAAGCAAGTATGAACCTGGGATGTGGATTGCCCTTCACCACCTTCTGCCCATATTTCCTCCAGCGAAAGCCGTCCCCAAGTACTTCAGAATCTGTAGAACTCTGAACCACCACTTGAGGCTCCACTAAACCTTCCTCTGCCACTGCTACTTCATTGGATTGATTCTCGTTTTTCCTGAGTGAAAGATCAACTGCGTTTATTGAAAACCTGATGATAGACATCAATGGAATTGTCTGGTACTTCAATTGACTACAATGGAAATAAGCTGATTCTCGTTGAATTGGCCTCTTACCTTCTTTTACTCTTTGGTTCATCTTCCGCCACTTCATTTCCCTTGCTTCCTTCCTCACATTCCTCACTTTGAGCATATGAATTCACAGGGCTTCCTCCAGCCTTGACAAGATAGCCTGATTCACTCTGGTTCTCTATTCTATTTTCATTCTTCTCACTGTTAGGATTACCCCATAGATGCTTATTATAATTAGTATCTTGACCCAATCCATCCGACACGATTCCTGATCCTTGTGCTCCAGCTGAGTTGCGCTTAGGAGGCTGAGGCTTCGAATGGTTGTGCTCCCCTTTATACACAATTTCTGCAATTTGCCCATCAAATGATCTTTCAACCTTCTTCTTCACTGGACAATTAGGATGCGTGCATTTGTAATAACTCCTTGGATACTCGCTTCCTTTAACTTGCTTCTGCCCATATTTCCTCCAGTTATACCCATCATAACAAGGTCTATCACCACCATTACTAGTAGATGGCGAAGTTTTCTGGTCCTCCTCTGGGGCCTGCTGTACCACCTTGAAACATTCAATTGCCAGATTTGATTCAGCGCCTGGGGTGTTATTATTCTGATGATTAATTGAGCTCAAATTGGTCCTCGGTTTCTCCTGATTGGGATGTTGAAGCTGCTGGCTATGAGTGGTACTATAATTTCCCTTAAGTGAATGAAAAAAAGAAATCATGAACTCAACCACGCATGAACAACATCGTATTATTCAGAAATCCATATAAAACTGACCATATTTGCCAGCAGAGAAACAGTGGCCTTGGAGACAAACTTAGCCGTAGGCTTGTAAACAACTGTTTGATTAGTGTCTGATTTATGACTTTTGTAAGATGGGCTTGCCTGAAAATGCCAAAACAGCCACATATAGGAAATCAAGATTCAGGAAGTCCAGAAATAAGCAGAGTTTGTGTTTCAGACTATTGAAACTGAAAGTTTACCTCAGAAGAAATAAACCCAGCAGGGGGCGGGCGATTCACGGCTGGCTTGAACCTCACAGTCTTCGGTCTAATGGCTGAAACTGTGGCTTGAGAAGATTCAGGAGATGGAGAGGCATTGATGGCACCTGCAAGTAGCTCGGAGAAGGATCTCAAAGGGGGGCAACTCGGCCTTGAAGCTACTGGTTTAGCAACAACTACCCTTTCTGCTTCTTTAACATCCATCCTCAATTAGTAGGTTTTTTCTTTAAAGGTATATCCTCCTTTAAATTCAAAACTCCTGGCTATTGACGCTAATATCGAGCAGAAAACTTCTCATGGCAGCAGTTTCTGTTAATATGGCTCCAAACTGGCCCGAGGTGAAAATAAACTTCTTCACAGCCGAAACTGTAGGATGATATAATTAGATGACATAATATATATATATATAGATTAAAAAATATGACTCATGTTACAGAGCTGATTAAAGATAGAAAAAGTGCATTGAACTATAATTTTGTAGTTAATTATGTTTGATGATAATTTTGGTGAGGATCTTAACACCGCTACCACCTTATTCTTTCCACAACCGAACCAACTTATAAATAGCAAGCGTTCCGCAATTTTGTATTTACATTCACAAACAACCATAAATAGGCATCATTTTTTGGTCGTAGACAGAGAGTATACAAGACATGAAAAGTTTTGTTCCTCTTGAGCTTTTGTTGCTCTGAAGGAAGGAACGGACGAGCAAGTTGTTAGCTTTCAGTTGGGGTCATCAAACCGGGAATTTCCAGCTTCCTGATAACCTTTTACGTTGAGCTGCGTGGAAAGTCAGTGAAAACAGAAACACGAATTCAAATCTAGTCCTAATAATGATTAACGTTGACCATACCATCTCTGGTAAGTACGAACCAAGACGTATTCACAAGCACCCGACACTCAGATGAGGAAGTTCTCAATCTACATCCACACACTAAAGGGAAGATTTGAGGGGTCTAAGGAATGAATGAACCATCTAGACCTTTGTGGCAGCATCCTCAAACTTCAAGTTGGGAAACATTGCTCACAACTGGAGTCAAAATATTTGCATAAATGAAAATATGAATCAGTTGTCCTCTCCGCAATTTCCCAAGCTTATACTGCAGTTCCATGTTTGGAGAAATAATCGCCATTTTGTAGGTCTCTAACTTACAGAGAGGCATACTTTCAGTCGTATCAGTTGAAAATCCCGTATATGGAACCATGCAAAGACCGCAGGTCCTCAAAATGTCACAAAAAAGAACCAAATCTCAGCTCCAACACGGAAAAAAGTTTCCTGGTTTCATCAGGGAATTGTCTCTTCTAAGTGATTTTTCGTGTTATCTGTGTAATGCCATTGAAAATTATAAGCAAAGAGCACATTCTAAATACAAACGAAGCAGTTTTCTCCCTCCATGGCTTTGCTTTTTGATTGGGATAACGCAGAACAGAAAAAAACTAGGAGCTACAACGACTGTCTAAAATGGAGCCAAAGGGAGGAAAATCAAAATACTCTAAACAACTAATCTACTTATATAATCCCTTCTTCCATACACCAGAACTTGAGTCAGTGAACATGAAATATGCAGAGCCCAGGAAAGCCAGAGAAGTATGCACAAAGCATAGACATAAAAACCTAACACTGGAGTAGTAATATTCTGCTTTCCTTCTAGCTTCACCCTTTTTCAAACTGTTAGTTTCTTCCAATTTAAAAAAAAAATTTAAGGACTGGAAGATGAAATAAGAAGGAAAGAAGTGGAACTAACCAGAAAGTCAAGAAGCTACCGGAAAGCGTTTAAAACTGAGTTCAACCATCTGCATTTCAAAGCCCAGAGTTTTATAATGAAAACTAATAATCGAAATAAAAAACATTTTGACATAAAAACCCATAAATGCCTCAAGAGCACATGAATTAGTTAGAACCCTGAGAAGGCAACAACTTACGCAGCTCAACATATACTATTACAAGGGTTCTTGTTCTCTTTCGTGCTCTAAATTTCTTAGAATCCGGAGGCGTCCTTCTACATATACAAAAACGATCAGAGGGAAGGGGACCATACTGTTGTGGGCTTCAGAAATTCTGAATCCAATTGTTTTTGGATTTTTATGAAAACTGCCACCTGTTAAAATTGTTCACTAATTATTGATCTTTTTAAAAGAATAAAACTTTCATCATTAATTAATGATCAGATCGGGAATTCTGAAATTTGGGATTGGTGGTTGGCAGCTGGAGCGTAGAAGAGCCGACCCCAAAACGAGAGGTGAAGGTCCAACCAAATTTTTCCTATGGAAGCTTGAACCTCCGAATTAGCACCGCAATACGGAGGGGAGGGAGATGTTTCACGCGCACAGGATGCGCGTGTAAAGACACTCGAATCCGCTTGGGTCAGAATCTGACTTTTGTCGTCCCGTACGTAGCCGTTTGCCCGTTTCTGAGCCTTTGCTTGAAGCTAACGCGCCCGCTGTCTAACTTTATGTTGGAGATTAATTTGTCCTCACTGCTATGAAGAAAAAATATTTTTTAGTCTTGTTTACGAAGTATTGAGAAAAAAATATTTTATATGAATATTTAATTTTATCTTTTATTTATTATTATATTAACTTTATTTATTGAGGTATAATATATATTAAATGATTTTTTCTACAAACGAGATTTTATAATTAGAACCAGAGGTATACTAAAATATGTTGAAAGTGATTTATAAATAAGACCAGAAGAGTATCTTACCATAAGAAAAGGTAAAAGCACCGTTTCATTTAATTTTATGTTATTTCACCGTCCTAGTTAAATAATCTTCTAATCTTATTTATAGGATATTTTCAATATATTTTACATAGATCAAGAAAACCTTAAACTGTGTTAAGTGGTGTTTGGATGGAAACAAAACTATAGTTTTAGAAATGATTTTACGGTCTATAAAGTAAATATGTGAAGAAGTTTGTCAAAAATATTTTAAAAAGCAGTTATGGGCATATCCAAGTGCCCTCTAACTTTCATTTAAAGTACAATGACTTTCCAACCTTCCTTCTATTTAATATATATATCTTTTAAAAAATATGGTAATTATATAACTATAATAAATGAAGGAAAAAATAACATATTCTTAATAAAAATTAAATGAGGTGAGTTATGAAAATAATTAAAAAAATCTTCTACCAGGGGAGTATTAATTTTTGGTAATGTTGCTTACTTGCTTTCATTTATATATGTGCGCGCGCATATGTATGTTTTACCAGAACATTCAGTTTATTTATATGAAACAGCTAATATTTTAGTCCAATATAATAAGTCCGTCTTTTTCCATGCATGGCCAAAGTTTTTTTTTTTTTTTTTAACCAGCCATGACCAAAGTTAGATTCTTTTAATCCTTTAAAAGAAAATGCTTCTTCAATTCTAAATATAAAACTTATTTTATAATATAGTTTATTTTATAAATAAAAGATTCATTTTATAGTGTAATTTATCTTATAAAATGGGTTTTATATTTAGATAGTATATTGAGATCCGTGGCTGTGGCTGCGAACCAGTACAGAAAGACCCTATTTGCAAGATATTTTAAACGCACGTGCTAGGAATTCATATTTCCCTAAGAAAAATTAAAAAGGTTAACATTAATAGTCTATACCCTAAACTATAAGCGGGATTTTGGTTAAAAACACTGCAAGTGGGATTAAGCGCTTATTGGATTACACAGTGCCATTTGATTACATCAGCATAATCCATATCTGAAAGCGTCAGATCTTACGCTTCAAACATTTAGCTGTGTTGCATAAGATAATAATCTGCGACTTAATTGAAGAATAACTGCTACCTGCCAACGTTAATTAGGAAAAAATCACCTGAAGAATGACTGACTTTATATTATACGATAAAGATAAGGATGCATTCAATATTTTCCGAGATTCTTGTAGGCATACATACAATTGGATTGGGATTTAATTATTTGAGTTGCAATTATAAATTCTATGACAGCCACCTGCTACCTCTTCCAGAATTACTCGTACTTTTTATTTGCAGTTATTCTTTTAGTAACTGTTATTATTTATATCGTTATTGAACTGTTTAATCTGTCGCCGTCAAATTTTTATACTTTAATTGCATGTAAGCGGGGGACTTAAACTTTTGTATCTGGTGACTGGTGAGTTATCTTGTGTATTGGGTTTCAAGTTTCAACAAATTTAATCGTTAGTAATAAGCTGAAATTAACTTGTTTATTTTTTCTTTTAAGAAATTTTGGGGGGGGGGGGGAGCCTGACTGCACTGCGAAAAGAGTGAATGAAATTAGGGTTTGGTGGGGCGTGAAGATTAGGTGAGACCTTGGAATGTTAGATGGGACACGTGCGGAAAGTTGACGCGTGGCAAGAAGACCGGTAGTTGTGCGTCCCCTCTTCTAGAAGGATAATGTTATCAAAACTTTATGTTAGGGAGGGCGACGTTATTACTTATTAGTCCCTCGTCCTTTTCAGAATCATCCGGCTTCTGTCCCTCTCCATATACATTTCCGCGATTAAATAAAAGGTCAATACAGTTTTTTATACATTCAAATTTGTGTTTATTTTAGTTTTAATCTCTTAAATTTTAAATCATGATTTTTTATTTAAAACGTTCATCCTTATAATTTAATAAAAATTTAAGCTATTTTATTTCCGGTTAAATTAAAACCTATAATTTAAAATTTAAGAGATCAAAACCAAAATGAGAACAAACTTAAAGAACCAAAAATTATAATCTTTAAATAAAAACAGAATTTTTTATTTACAAAATTCTAAAACATCCCATCTTTCGCAGTTATTACTCCCTCGTTTCTAAATGCGGATTCCTTCTAACTAATTTGTTTAATTTGTGGATATAACAAAAAAGTTAGTTGGAATATCTATTTATAATCACCATGTACAAAACTGGTGATATTTTTTAAAATTATTCGTGTCACTCATTCATTCAAATTTTATATATAAAAATAAAAATGATGCAATAGATAGAAATATTATAAAAAAATCGCAATAGAAAATAATTAGACATATTTGAATTAGTCTTGAAAAATGATTTTTTTTTAATCTTACCATTCAAATACAACGTAAAAGTACTTATTATCCAGACAGTTATGGAATCAGACTTTAAATGGATTTTATATTATAAATCAAATGAAGCATCATAACGTTTCCTTGGAGATTTTTTTATTAATTAAAAATTAAAATAAACACCACAAAAATTATTATCCAAAAAATGAATATCCTAAAATTTGGTCATGAGAAAAAAAGACCTACGTAAACTGGAAAGAAACTAAAAGAGCAATCGGATAGGAATTCCCTCTGGCTGGGTTCCACCCCCTAATTGAATGGTGTGGCCAGTAGAATAACAAAAGTATTCTATAATTTCATTATTGGGAGAGTTTGGGAACCATAAAAACCATTTAAAAAGGTGTTTTTTTCAAATCAAAACTCTTCTCATATTTTTACTTTGTACATTATAAAATCAGTTTTAAGAATTTTTTTTTTCCGGACAAGAGACTGAAGGGAAAACCACCTAACGAGGGTGGTACCCAAACAGCCTGAATATCCTACTTATACACACTAACACATTCACGCATCCATCCGATACGAGTCTTAAGAAATTAATTTAAACACTCTCTTAGTCATGTAGCACTTAACTCCACTTGACATGGGCTCAAACAGCAACGACGGAGTGGGAGAAAGTAGAGGTAAAAAATTCAAATCCTTTTCAATATATTAAAAAACATTTAATAAATGGTGAGACTTTTTAATTTTTTTACTATTTAAGTTTTAATCGAAATTAGTATCACATAAATTTAACATATAATTATATAATTTTCCCTTTTCACCAATTGGACCACAGCCCACGGCCGACAGCCGCAGGCATCGTTGTCCGAATTTGTGATTATTTAATACTTATTGATCCATGTCCCACTGCAAAGGGTCCCAGAACTAATATTTATACACCTCTAATTTTAAATACAGGACTTAATTATTGAATTAATTTTAGTTTTAAATATAAGATCTATTTCTCATATTTATTAATTTTTTAAATTACCCCTATGGATTTTCCTCAACCATAATTAGGTAGAAGAGGGAGAGAGAGTATTAAGGAAGATAATTACAGTATTTTAGAAAAAATATATCATATTTCTTATAATTAACTAAGTTACCTAACTTTCTTAATTTAATTAAATTAGTTAAATAGATCTTATATTAAGAATTGAAATAGTATTTTATAGGGAATTCCACTATGTTTTGCAATTACATCTTTCCCAGGAAAATTATTCTTTTTCAGCCTATTTTTGACTCCTTGCTAAACATGTTCAAGCCGTTCTCATGTGAAGATCTTAATATCTTGTTGATACGCAATGCATAAATATTTTTGCAAGTATTCTTTGGGTTCTCAACCTACTCTGGCCATCAGGTCCTTAAAATCTATTTCATCTGGACTTTTTGCTATATATATATATATATTATAAAAAGACATAATTGGACATCTTTTCATGTTTCTTATAAGAAATTTACAAAAAAAATGTTCGCTTCTGCCTTTGGACTCCTCTGTTGGAAGCTCTGGGAAGCGAAAAACCGTGAGCTATTCTGTAACAAGGAAGCGCATGCATGCTGTCTTGTTAACGAGATGCTTTCTCTTAGTGATCACACCAAACGTGCTAGAGAACTCAAGATGTTCCGTTTAGGCTCACCATTGGGTCTGGCTTCTTTATCTTTTGCTCTTCTTTGTACATTAATTTGAGTACTTCTCCAATTCTAAATATAAATTTTTTTTTATAGTATAATGTAAATATAAGATTCCTTTTATAGTGTAATCTACACTATAAAAAGGATTTTATATTTAGGACCAGAAGAGTAATAAAGTTTCTCTCACTAAAAAAAAAGTTCGCTTCGAAAAGAAGTTATGCCTCCGCAATTGTGGCAAAAAATCGAGAACTCAATCCTAACAATGATAATTTAAAGGGAAAATTATAATAAGATCCCATTCAAGTGAATTAAATACTAAAAGGTCTCTTAAAATTATCAAATTATTATGAAATCTTAAAGAAGCTCATTGCAAAAGATTTTATTTGTTTAATTACCAAACTGCTCTTATTTTTTTCAAGTATGTATTGACAATTAAAAGAACAATCCTTAACAAAATAAGGTATAACCATTAACAATTATCGCAACAGATATTAACAATACATCTTCTCAGTATATCACAAAAATGTAATGCATAAGTTATCAATACCTGCCGCAATAGTTATTAATCATTACACCTTAAGTTGTTAATGACTGTACTTTTAATTGTCAATGCATACTTTAAAAAAAAGATAAGGATAATTTGGTAATTAAATAAATGGAATCTTTTGTAATGAAGTCCTTTGAGACTTTAAATTAATTTCATGATTCTAAGGGACCATTTGTATTTAATTATATTAGGTGGGATGTAATATTTCCTAATTTTTTTTTAAAAGGGCTATGATTCATCAGGCCTCGTGCATGGTGGCCTAAACGAAGTTAAAAAATGGATTCGATTTTAATAATGATATATTCATTAATTACTAGTTAGAAGCATAGACTTCTACATTGCTTGAATTCCAATGTGCCAGAAGCTTTGGTACTTCTTGACGTCACTGTTTATTTTATGGGAAAAAACGCGCTGAACTGAAGCATAATTTAAAGTGAAGTCAGTCTGCAACAGCTCATGTTCTGAATAAAGAATGAACTAGACTCCTTTGCAGTCACGAACAATTTTCATTCTCAGATGCAGACATCAATTGATTCTACTGCAAACTCATGACCAAACTGGTGTGGGGAAAGTGTAGCCCATGAATGTAAAAAAGAAACTAGAATGACCACTTACCGCATTAAAAAGGTAAGCGATATTGTGACCATCGAGTGCATAACTTGGTGGGAAGCTGTACTAATATATAACTCCCTTCAGCTTGAGCTCTACGTACGAAACTACACCAACACTAATTGGCAGAGCTTTGTTACCGTTGTTAGTCATATTTAGCTTGATTCCAAATATCAGATCGTTTGATAAAATTTAAAAAAGATAATATTTTCATTTAACTCATGTTATATACCTCAACAATCCCCATCTTTTTGTTTCTATGAACTATTCAAAAATCAGAACTCAAATGGAACTTATCTCCGGTTTGCTTGCCTTGTAAGAGGCATATTGGAAACAGATTTACCACTGACATCAAAGTGACAAGCAGGGAATTTGGAATTCTGACTTTTTACCACTGTCGATTTTCATTTTTAGGTCATATTGGAAACAGATTTATTAAAAGATGAAACTTTTATATGCAAGCAGGTTCCATGGAGATGGAGATGAATGCACTATTCACATTCTCATTCAGCACAGTATGAAGAAGAAAGAGAATTAGCAATTTTAAAGTCGCTATAAGAGAGTTATCAAAGTCTCCAGCCAGCATAACAACGTCTATAGGCAGACTCATTGCGATAAGTTGAACAGCAGATGAAAAACTGGAATGACAGTAATCTATTTTGCATTAACACAAGGGGTAAAAGGCATGAATAGTCACATTCTACATAAAGCCTTCTTGACCATTTTCTCTATATATCCTTGTCATTACGCCAATCGGGCAAATGCTCTATCATTTATCCTCTGCCTCTGGTGCATTTTCGTTTGTGGACTTGTGAACAAATTGTCCACAAAAGTGAGTCCGTTCTTCAGCTAGTTTCTTTCTACTTTGATGTTGGGCCTGCAATTCCAACCATATAGAATTTGTCTTTCAGCACAAAGGTGCACTAGCGTTCCACGAGATACACTCATCTTTTAAGTAGATTTGATCACATATCTAGAGCAGACATCTGCTCCACTCACAGTGAGAGAGCATCAAGCACCTTACAGGGAATCAGGCAGAAAAAAAAAAAAAGCAACTAAAACGAAGTCATAGCGAGCCTGTGCCTCTGGGGTTCACCACTATCCCCATAAACTGTATGGCAGAGTACAAATGCTGGCATTACAAAAAAAAAAAAAAAAAAAAAACGCCATACCCATTCACTCCTAATAATCATTATGTTATTACAGTAAATGAATTCATAATCATAGATGCAGCAAAGCAACACATAAGTCTGAAACTGGACCACGCCTCTTCTAAACAGAGACCTGCCCATGTACAAACATGGACGTGGATATCATGTGATAGAATTGCTTTTACTTGTCAACCGCATAAAAGTAAGAGCAATTCTATCATCAGAAAGAAGCTTGAGGTCAAAGCCCTATACAGCAGAAAGTAATTTTCCTCTTTCATGATTTTGCAAGTTTTACTTTTATACGGTTGACAAGTAAAAGCAATTCTATCATCATGGTTCCTAGCCACGTGCAGCCCTCAAACCTTTCAAATAAACCACACAAGTCCAAGAAAAATGGAATGACAGGATAAAAATAAAACTCAGAAACAAAAAGGTAAGCAGAAAAAGAAAATGGTGTTGGTCATGTGCTATATATCAAAAGTCATGAAACACTAACTGATATCCGGGAACGACAACTCAGAACTTTATTACCTTTTTATGGATGCAACTCTCCTTTCTCTTAAGGCCAAACTTACTCGAGGTTGCTTCTCTCTTGGAGGTCTTGTTTTGATCTACCCTGTTAGCACTCTTATTCCCGCTCCAACTCTTACTCCCACTAGCATCACCACTTCTATTGGCACCCTCTATGTTTGTCTCCCTGTCAGCAACAGCAGTGCTGCTCCCATTTAGTCTGTCGCTTCCATTATTGCTGCCTGATGCCCTTCTGTCAACACTGTTATCTCCAGTATTACATTCAACCAGCATTTCCACCACATTAGATGACCCATAATGTGGTGCAGCTACGGCCATTTCCTTGAATGTTGAATCAACATGGTCAGGTAGCTGCCAGTACTGCTTGTCAGCAATACTGTCATGGTTTTCAAATTGGTAATGAAAGTCCTCACTATGATAATCTTTATGTATGCCTCCTTTTGGTGTTAGCATTGTCACTGTAGTCATGTCTTTGCTACTATGAAATACAACTTGTTGAAGGGTACATAGGTCACTGCTTATAGGCTGGACAGCAGAAACATGGCACAAACATCTGGCTGTTGATGCTACCGCTTGTTCACTTGAGACTTCAATTTTAGTAAAAGCATTATTAGCAGAGGAACCTATATCAATGTCATTGCTTCCACCATTTGAGCTCCGGTGGGAAGGATTGCCATTGGAATGAGATTGAATTTCACATGATAAATCTTTCTTTGTAACTTCTAAGCTATCGTTATCCCGAGAGTTACTTCCAGTTCTGACACATTCAGTGGGAGACCTCTTAGTGTTAGAGCTTCCATTGTACCTGCAGCAGAAGACTTGCCGAAATTATACTGGCATCAAGAATAAATCAAAATAACACCAAACAATGATATGGAGTGAGACCTTGAGAAGGCCGAAATGGCTGAACATCTTGCAACATTCTGTTTGTCCTGAATTGTGGTTCTGGCATCTCCTCCTCCTCTGAGTCTCTTTAAACTGATCTCAGGAGATGGTAACTCGTCATCATTAGTAGCTTTATTTTCAATATCTGAGAGACCGTGTCTTCTATTTTGGGCTTCAAACTCTTCATCAGTAATGCCATCAGACACTGAAGGACCATTGGGCCGTAGCATGCCTGATGGATTCTCACAATTAAGATCCAGCTGTCCTCTACTAATCAGCCCATTGCATTTAGAGGAGCCCACATCAAGATGGATACCGTGCTTTTCTACTGAAATTTTGACGGGAAACTCATTCCCATTGTCAACAGTTAAGTCAAGCTCTGTACTTGAGTCAACTTCCAGCTCTTTGACTTTGAAATGATATGGGGAGAGGTGAGAAATAAACGTATTGTACCAAAAAGAAGAAAAAATAATATTAATCGTTGATACACGAATATGGATACATGACACAGACATGGACACATGCACACACAAAAAGAAGCACAAAAGAAAGAGGTAATACAACTGAATAGTAGTAAAGTAGCATTTCATGTAACGTGGTTGGTCAAAATTCAAAAGTGGTTGGCGATTATAATAAAATTTTGTTCATGAACTGTCACTTAATAGCTTAAAGCCTTATAGTTAAACCAGTCCTTAACATGATATTAGAGCCTTTAAGATGAAATGGTAAGGAACTTGATCCTTGCCATATCACACTCTTCATAATCAAATGAAATTTAACACGATGTGGGAGGAACTCTGCTTTGTCCACACTTCAAGGACTATGGGCTTTAGTGAGAAAGAGTGTGTTGGAGATGATGCTATATATGAGCCTCAATATTTTAAGCTTTGAAATTAAAACTCGTCCCTTTGCAAGTATATATAGTTATGTTAAATTTCTCATGATTTAATGTAACAAACTACTCAAGTATATGGCCAATTTTGATCCAAACATGAACTAAACAAATCCTTAAATTAAGAATCGAGTATAAGAATGATTAAATTAAAATGTTTTATTATGCCTTGACACAATAAAAAAGCTATAGCACAACTAAAATTCAATTCAAATCCAACTACTTGTACACAATTAGTTTAATTAGATGCAACCTAAATGAAGTTCCTCAGGAATTATCCAAAAGTAAATCATAATAATGAAACAAGCATACCTTATTCCAAAGAAAATGCAATCATAATTGTTATTCATGATTCTTGCATGTTGATTCAACCAAAAAAAAAAGAAGAAAAGAAAAGAAAAAATCTTGTTATTGTGACACCCGCAATAGTAAATTTATAGAAATGTTAATAGAGCAAATGCTTTGAAAGGCTCCAAATAACAAATGATATTTAGCAATAACATATTGACTCCTATAAAATTGGATGGTATGTGTATGAGAAAGAAAGAAAGAAAGAAACATAATACAGTACTCTCTCCATTCCTTTTTATAAGGTGTCATTTAGAAGGTTTTAGTTTCTTATTTATAAGACATTTTCCAAAGTTTAGGGAGTAATTAATATTTTTCCAAAAATGACCTTAAAAATAAATGTATGGAGAGAGAGATTAATCAATAAATTTATGATGGAGAGAGACGAACCAAAAGAAAGAGGATTAACTAATTTCCTTTGTACGTATAAAGTATAGCACTTTCAGCCTTACCAAGTTGTTTCTTATGTTTGGGACAACACTTCGTGGCCAGAGGAACCATCTTTTCATCACATATTTGGGCATTGGAGTGAGGGAATTGAGCGCAGGTGCTAAGAGGATAGTCCACTATTTGATCCCACTGAGGTACTTGTTTGGGACTGTCTACTTCGACAGCTTGTTTGGTCCAGGAGGTCTGCCAGAGGAGAAAGTAAATAAACTTACAAGCCACTTTTCCTTACAGAAACTGGTGCATGACCTTTTATAGAGTACCAGCAAGAAAAAGAAGAGATTGTCTTTTCTTGGTCTCTTGCTGGATTTCTTAACCTTATCTTCCTACGTAGTAGGACAGCAAGGCAAAACCGATGATAACAAGGATCTGAGTTTCATGGGAATATTGTAACATACTTCTCTTAGTTTGTTCCTTGTTCAAGCTAAACATATGCTCAAGAAGAAGAAGGACAACAAATAAGGAAAAGAATGAAGCGCATAAAACTGTTGACATTTAAGCACTTGACCGAATTTAATGGATTACAACTTTTTCAGAAACAAGGTAACCCTTCCATCAGTTTGAGGATCCAGTCATAAGCCAAGAATGAGGTGGAAGGGAAATGGCATCCTAACATGGGATCCAGTTATCTACCATATTTTAATGCCTGTCCCTTAAAAATCTAGGGAAAAAAAATCAAAATATAAGATTAATTTAAAGCAAACCTTCAAAACTACAGCAATCAAAGTATAACATTGAGAAAAATGAAAGACATTTATGAACACCAACTTGATGTGGAATCTTAAGGCCTGGTAAAGGTATAAGAGCTGTACATCAATAAGTATCGACCAAAAAAGAATCAGGCAAATCAACATATGGGAAACAGTTTTACCTGAGTTCCACTACCATTGTCACTTCCATTCCCGTTATTTATATCTTCACTTCTGTTGTTGTCCTCATTATTGCTGTCAGCGTTGTTAGAAGACTCCTCAAGACTCTTTGATTTTACAGACTTCTGGGTTTGTGTGCCACTTTCACTCCCGCTTCCACTAGACTGGCAAAAAAATTTCAAGGAATAATCAAGAGAGATTATGGAAATGGTGGGTTTTTAATTTAACAATATATTCCCCATGATCTTTTAATAAATAGGATGGATATGACAGTTTTCTTTCTAAAATATCACAGCAATATAAGCATTGGTAAATCATCACTAGTCCACAAATAGAATAGATATCATGACATTGATAAGGAAAAATTAAGTCAACTCACACTATGGCATCGCCTCCAAACATGCTGCCAAAGGTTTTTAAGCTCATTCTTCCGTATGGGTTTTACAAGAAAGTCAACAGCACCCCTTGACAAGCACTTAAAGACTAAACCCATAGAATCATGAGATGACATCACTGCAAACCAGTTTCATTAGAAGCCACGGAGAAGAGTAGCTTTTTTCCAGCATGCAATGAGAAATATTGAAAATAAAGATTTTAAAACAACATGGCACTCAGAAAAACTTACTAATCACTGGAATGTTCTTTCGTGCTTGGTGACCCATAATCTTACATAGAAGACCAATTCCTGAGAAGCAAGGCATTGCCACTTCAGTTAAAATGAGATCAATATGATTAGTTAAATCCTCCAACATCTTCCATGCCTGCAATCCATTTGCAGCTTCAATAACTGAAAAATACAAAATCAAGATTATATGTAAATTATGACTGGTCAATCACAGTGAAAAGTAATGGATCTTTAACGTTTATAGATTGTTTAAACTCCAACAAAAGGGAAAATATAAACTTTGGGAAATAAAAAGCATTTTATGCCCAGAAGTGGACAAAGATTGATACAAGACATGAATCAGTAGCAAGGCATCTCTGGTAAAACTAATTACAAAGACTATTGACTATTGATAAATAATGGCACACCTATCCTGAAACAAGAAGGGATAATTTGAACACAGATGGTGTGAAATCACAGTGTCCCTGCCTAACCAAATACGTAAAGCATCCGGCAAGTATGATAGTTACTAACCTTCATAACAACAATTGCGAAGCAGTGCAGTGACAACATGGCGAGTAGAGTTATCATTCTCCACAAGCAAAACCTTAAGGGATCCAAGATGTAAAAACCTCTCCCAGCAAACAATTTCCCCATGAGTTTGCTGCTTTGTTACAGGCTGGACAACAGGCCCTTTCACCGTCTCCCCTTGTCCAACATTAAATTCTTCAACCATTCCATTAACTTTCAATTCATTTTTCTCATGTAATCCATGTTCCTCACCAGTAACTCCATCTTTAAGGATTTTCTTCCCAACTTGTAGATGATGAGTCAATTCTTGTAACTCTTTATCGTCACCATTAACACTCATCAGGGCACCCCTCGTCATTCTATTAGGAAACACTAGAATCAAGGAGTTTCCACACCATGTAACAATCCCTCCTCATCCACAGGAAAAAGTGAACGAAACATCTTTAAGATCTCCTGCTCAATGCAGGTAACTGATTATGCAGTCAAAATAATAAATAGGTCAAGACAAGTATAACCAGCGTATCTTTGGTTGTATTTTTTCACACTGAAGTGAATCAAACACACACAATGCTCTTATAAGCAACTCTTTAAGCCAATCAAATACCGACATTGCCAGATAAATTACACGGCTTTGAGCACATTTCATGCAAATTAAAGATCCCTTTCTACACTCTCCATCTCAGAACCACATGAATGTGTTTTATTAAAATAAACAAAATTCAAATTATTGTTAGTTAAAAAAGCCAATAACATTCTCACTCTTTCCTAAGCCAACAGGGGGGTGGGTCAAAGAACACATAGACGTTTCAACCAAAGGAAAAAATTATTAAGCATAAATCTTGCGAAAAGCTAAACCCAATTCTAAAGAAAAATATTTTCCACTCCATGATTTTTGGAAATATTGAAAAAGACAACTAAAAAACTATAATAGGTTTCATCAAAACCCTAAGCAGTCCGAAGAAAGCCGAAGGTTGACAACTGGCATCTTCCCATAAACAGTTATCTCAAATGTACCAAAAATTTAACACAATCATGCAACAAAGGAAAAACACAGCTGTAAACACACAGATAATGAATGTTTGACCAGAATATCCAAAAATGAACTATTATATGCATCAAATGTTTTTCCCTGCGTTCCTGACACTGAAGAAAAAAAAAAGGAAAAAAAAAAAATGAAAGCAGAGATATTGCCTAACAAAGAGCACAAAAACAAAGGGAAATAAAAGAAGAATTCAAGAGAAGGATTAGTACCTCCGCACCTTCCCTAATCGCCGTTAATTAGATCCATCAGAGAGGAAAATGATCATAGAACAGCAGTATAGCCTGATAATAGCTGCTGTGATCTGTGAACTATAATTATCAGACCAAATTTGGATAAAAAACAATAAAACAAAATTTTCACTTCGGCGCGTCCAACCAATCTGAGACCCAAGAGGGACCACGGTAAGAAATCAGAAAAGATCGATGTTTGGCAGGGAAGAGGATACGGTGAACGAGCCAGGTTGCTGACGTGGAGGAAATGGCGGTGAGCAACGTCGAGGAGTGCCACGAGGGAGTAGATCTTTCCAGGTGGTTATGGACATTTTGTGATGGAGCTCGCTGACGTGGACGAAATCTTAATCGGACCATCGGAGAGCGAGAGAGCGAGAGAGCGAGAGAGCGAACGGAGCATTAGAAAAGAAAAAGATACGTAGCGGAACACGTGGAGCCATATGGAAATTCTTCTTTTTCGATAAAAATAAAAATAAAAATTCTACTTTTGTTTTTAAGGATGCTTCCTTAACATTACGAGAAAAATGTTAAATAACTTTTTTTTAATATAGCACTATTTACTCCTACTGTATTTGACTGAAATCAATAAATATTTGAAATTTTATTAATTTTATCTTAAAATTTAATAATTTTTTTACTTCATTTTTATTTAATATATATTTTTTCAAAATGACGATATATATAATACATGACAAATAAAATAATATACTCCTTCAGTCCTTAATACAAGATCTATTTAACTAATTTGATTACATTAAGAAAGTTAGGTAAATTAGTTAATTATAAAAATAATGACATGATTTTCCTAAAACACTATAATTATCTTTCTTAATATCTTTCCTCTCTCACTTAATTGATTATGATTAGGAGAGTATCCATAGAGGTAATTTAGAAAAATTGATAAATATAAGAAATGAGTCTTATATTTAAAATCAAATTAACTTAACAATTAGGTCCTATATTAAGGACTAAAAGAGTATTTATGTTCATTTCTTTTATAAGACCTAAATTGGAGAATACTATTAATTTATTATGAAAATGGATTTTGATTTTTAAATTGGAGAATACTTAGATTAAGTTTTTTATATGATCATGTCAAGTTCTCTAATCACATATAATTATGTTTGTTTTTTCATGTTAGTTTATAATTAAATGATATCAAATGTTAATATTTAAAAAATAGAACACATGCTTGATATAATAGATATAAAAAAGTTGTTGTAAGTATTTTTCTTCTAAATTATTTAATAACGTAATATTTTATTTATCTATATATTATGATATAAACGTATAATATTTTTTTTTTTAATTTGATTATTACATTACCAATTCGACCGCCGATCTAACTCCGGCTCAACAACCGGTCCAGATTTTAAGACACGGCTACTTAGTGCATTAGTCCTCTGTTTCTCCCTCCAATTCTCACTCCATACTTTTGCTTCTGCAACCGCGGTTGCCAACACCTGGATCCCTATACATCTCTCCTCTCGACAACAGGTGAGCTCCTACGAGTGGAAACGGCAACGGGTGCGGGCATAACGCCATTTGCCATGCTCCTTCAGTCGTTAGCCAAGTACATCCCCAATGGAAGCGTGGAGAAACAGGAGGGAAGAGGAACGGAGCTAGAAATGGTGAGGAAATCCAAATATTTGCCCCAACAATTATATTAAATACGCGTTGGCTGAGTTGGATGCGACAATTATAATTTCTTTTCTAGGTGAAAGACAATTATAATTTCTAATGGTGTTAGCGCAATTGTCATATGAGATAATGAATTGATGACTCAAAATAAATTTTGTACGATAAGAATTAAATTATTAAATGTCAAAAAAATTATGCGATGAGTTTTAAACAAATTAAAAGTTTAGGAACTGAAACAGTCATAATTGAAAGATTGATTTATAAGTTAAAATATGAAGAGTTAAAAAAATAAACTTTCCGCCCCGGGGGGGGGGAGCACGTGGGGAGCACCATCCATGTCCTACCTGCAAATTTAAGAATTCAAGAACTGGTGACGAGCCTGGTGACTTTGATGCTGTTTAAACATTACTAGCTCGATCTCCCCAAAACCAGTGACATGTATATTACCCATTAATCTTTAAGGAAAATACGCCCGACTCGAAAACAAAAAATGTTTGATCCCAACAGCTGGCAACAAAACAATCGATTCACAGAGATTGTACTAACTTCCCGAACCAAAAAAGGGATGAAGTTTCAAAGTAACATCCATATTCCATGGTTAAAGAAAAGGTGTCATGGATGAGCACTGTTAAGTCAACAGGCTTAATCCAGTAACCAGAGAGATCACCATATAGGTTTTCTTGAAAAGTTACTCTGGGAAAAAGGTTTCCCCAATTCTCTTTAGCAATCCATTGGGCAATAAGATTAGTTTCATTCACATTATGTTACATCGTACAACATACAGTGATGATGGACAGCTCAAATTGACATTTAACCATCCATCTATGAAGTCTGGCAGAGATCCTGTCATGTGCAATTCAATATTCAATAATAATGACAATGATGATAATTGGAAGCCTACAAGGGCTAAACTTAACACTTACTCATATAACTATAATCATTATAATTTATAAATATTAAGAGAAGTCCTCTTCTTTCCTGCAAAATCGCCAAGCATGCAACATAAGCATGCAAAGAATAAAATACTCAGCTTTCGTTGTACACATCATCACCTATTATGCTGCAGCAGATCGCTTGTCCTCATAATCATCGAGATTAAGTGCTTGCAGCAACTTTGGCCAAGATTCTGGGATCCCTCCTGGTAAGTCAAACTCCAATAGTTTGCCTCGACTACGGTAGAACTCCTCCACAGGTTGGCTCTACAATTAAAATAGAAAACAAATCATCAAACAATCTCTCTCAAACACATTCACAACATGGATTTGGAAGTGAGAGTAAATGAGAATCATAAACTTTATAAGCAATGCAGGCCAGTTAACCAATCACAAGTCTATAGTAACAGCAAGTACATAACATGTTAATCTCTACATAAAGAAGCCACTCATGCAGACAAGTTGTTACCATCACAGAAAGTCCATTCAAAGAAACATTTAATGATAAATAATTGAGAGATACCTTTTCATTGTATATACGAAATCTTTCTTTGACTACTGCTTCAGTATCATCTGAACGAGTAATAAGCTTTGACATACAATGGGCAGGGGGAAGAAGTGGAGCCATGATAATTCCAGGAATCCCGTTCTCACCCTTGATGTCAATGGAGGCCACGTTAAAATTTCCCCCACACTGGCTGCAAATTCTCCTACCGAGGCATTTCTCAAGAAGTACATCTTCTCGAAGCTTCAGATTGACTACCAAGTCAATGTCTGTTACCCCTTCCAATATTTCCTACCCACAAAAACAGACAATCCAGATTTTTAATGAAAACAATGGATTATGCAAGAACATCACAACTCCAACACATAGAAAGGTTTGGGGTGGACAGAAATAAAATTCAGGGTTCGTTCTGCTAATCTCTAAAGACATCACAAGCTGAGATACACCGGAAACAAGAAGAAACCTTGGTATCCTTATTCTGAGGATTGGAAAAGTTTCTATAAAAAAAAAAATGCTGGAGTAAAAGTATTAGTAGGTTAGATGGAAATCATCACTTCTGCACACTTGCATTATTCTTCAAAAAAAAAAAAATTACATTTTGAGTATCAGGACTCACTATCAAGCAACTACAAAGAAAATAAGGGGGAAGTACCTGTAATGAACTTAAATTATTTTCACTTTACCAAAGTGAAGATACTCACTGCTTGCCTAATTGTTCGAGGAAATCCGTCAAGAATAAATCCCGATTCACCTTTAGCTTTCCCAGCAGCCAGTCTCTTTGATAATAAACTGATTATAATTTCATCCGACACCAATTTACCTTGATTTACAATTTCCGACAGCTGTAAACAACAGAAATAAAATTAAGATGGCATTCTTCATAAAATTACTCCTAGTCATCACACTTGCCACCTAACAAGTTGCAACACATTATTTGATATTTTGGGACATGGGAAACATTCACTATGAGAATTGAACAGGGGAAAAAAAAGTGATACGGTTATACTTTAGTTATACATACAGAAAATGGCAAAGAGAAGCAATCAAAATTCCACCAAATCAATTCAATCAATACAGCACTAAATTAAATATTTCATCCCTCAGCGTACACTCTTACGCCAGGCGGAGGTAGACTTTCCTTACAATCCAGTGAACAAGTTACCAATGAAATTTAATAGGACCGTGAATCCTCAACTATTGGATGACCAAAGTAAAGCCATTAACTTTAAATTGTCTGGCAATAAGGCATTGCGAAATGAACTTGTTTTCATGGAAAGCCAAAGAAAATGGGACAACAGACACTCAAGTACAGATACATATAAAGGAGATATCACATAATCATCTGGTCCTATTTATAAGTTACTTCCAACATATTTTACACAAACTAAGAAAAACCTTAAACCTTATTAACTCTCATTTAAAATTCAACAACTTTCCAACTTTATCCCTATTTAATATGCATTATGCAAACAAAGTCAACACAAAAATAAATGAAGAATAAAATTGTACATCTATATAAGAAAATTTTTTCAATACCCTATAAATAGGACCAAAAAAATGTTTTCTCTCTCTGTCATATAAATTATAAGCAAGACCAGAGGACTATATGACATCTCCAGAGTCCATCAGAGGTTTCAAAAGGACGAAAAATTAAGAATGTCGAGATTTCCTGCACGACCAGATTGGACACCCTTGAACCAGGGATTCTGAACGAGCATAAACAACGGAATCGGGCCTCTTTCTGTAACAATTGTATAATGAGTGGGTAGGGCACCTTAGCCAATAAGTTGGTTTGCAAAATGACAAAGCAGTACCGTACTTGATGTGAAGAATGAGAGAAGATAATAAGACAGTACTACCTTCGGTTGTATTTATAAGAGTTAGTTGACTCCTTTGAGAAGATTAAAGAAAGAAGTTAAGTTGGTTATTTGTAATAAATATGTATTATTTTTTAAAATATCCTTACTAATCAAGTATATTAACTAGAACTATTATTGTTCGAAGAACTATCTTCAAAAAAAATGTATAAAGATGAAAGATAAAGTGGATTTGAATCTTATATCTAGAACCAAAATAAAAGTCAAACAAGATTTTATATCAAGAAAAAGGGATAGTATCTGTAGACATAAGATTATTATTTAAACTCCTACGGCTCGCCACCGGTTAATGTCCTCAAGTCCTGATCAGGAGAAAAATGGCAACTGGAGTTTATAGAATTTATAGAAAATAATTCTAAAAACCCAAAATTTATTTTAGTTAATCCCCCGCTTAGGTTTAGCAGTTCGTAAGTTCTAAATTTTGACGGAAACAGACCCAAGAAAAAGGACATCTTTACGTTAAAGGAAAACGAAAAGACAACTTTATAAAATGATCTAACTAGACTGCCATAAACGGCCAATTGAATTTGCACGAATGAAGATATATCTCGTGTTAGAATTTAACAGAGGTGTTGTGACTATTTGGTTATCAGTTCCAGGCATATTAAACGCCAGCAGTGCGTTCATTTTGTAGAGAAATGAAGACAAATTCAAATTAAATTTGGCCGCAAATATAAACTGAAAACAGACGGGGATGAAACCTGGGCAGAGAGGGGACCAGAGGACGCCAGCTCATCGCGAACGAGATCACCGGTCGCGATGTGAGGGACACCGGTCAGAGTGGAGAGGCGGCTAGCGTAGGTACCTTTGCCGACGCCGGGACAACCCAAGAAGACCCACTGAACATTCCTGTCCTCCTCCTGACCTTTACGTGAAACCTGAGGTTTCATAATGACGGAAGAGGTATTGTACGGAGGCGTGTGAGAATTGGCACCGGATCCGGCGGATGCAGATAAGTACCTCCTCGCCAAGCACATGATGGAGGATTTGGGCCTTGCTAGGCGGATTATGGCCGCCATTGAAATTACAGAAGCGCTACAAAATTCAAGCTTCAAGCTGCGGCAATCGAATTGGGAGAAGAAGATCGAGCTGAGTTCAGCTCCAACGATCTGGCTGGTTCTTTATGCTTACTAATTGCCCCGGAACAATTGCCCAAAACAATTATGATAGAAAAACTGAATTTAAATTGGAGACCCTTTTTAGTGCTCAGAAAAAAAAAAACGGAGACGCTTTTTGTAATTTGATGTGCAGCCTAGACCTGTTGATCATAAAGAAACTTCGGACATTAATACTTAACAGTATTAGCTCGCCTAATATAAGTTTTTATTTGATTTTTATTTTAATTTTAAATATAAGATTTTAATCTATTTTATTTTTTATATGTATATATTTTTTTCCTAAGACAGTCATTCTAGTAATAGTAATTCTAACCAGTATACTTATTAGTAAGAATATTTTAGAAAAAACAACACTTATCTATTACAAATAACTAACTTAACTTCTTTACTTAATCTTCTCAAATTAGTCAACTAACTCTTATAATTAGGACTGGAGGTAGTATATAAGAACTTGTTTGACTTTTATTTTGATCTTAAATATAAAATTTTAATTCATTTTGTCTCTCGTATTTATTTTTTTTTAAAACTAATCCTAACAATAACAGTAGTTCTAAACAATACACTTGATTAACAAAAATATTTTAGAAAAGACACACCTATTTATTATAAATAATTAACGTAGCTAATTTTTTTAATTTACTCAAATTAGTCAACTAGCCTTATATTAAGGACTAGAAGTATTATTATATAAGATCTCATTCTACTTTGTCTTTCATATTTATTTATTTTTTTAAAGTATTCATTGTAGTAGTTACACATGTTAAATATTTCATCAAATAGTAATTCTAGTTAATATACATGATTAGTAAGGATATTTTAGAAAGGACAATATCTATTTACAATAAATAATTAATTTAACTAATTTTTTTTTTTCAAATTAGTTAATTTTTTTCGACCAGAAATTAGTTAATTAAGTCTTATACTAATTTCAGTTCTAATTATAAGATTTTGTTTATAATTTATAAATAAGATGTTATAATTGATAATTGATAGCGAGGATAGTATTAAGAGCCGGAAATAGTACTATATTGATGATTAAATATCACAAGACAGCATATATAAAATGTTTACCCGCATCTGTCAGAAGAAGAATTTGCCATGCGCGCTTGGCAAATGCAAAGTTGCGTATGCCAGTTTTACTTTCGAAGGACCTGGTCTTAAAGGCTTTGGACAATAAAACACAAGAAATTTGTTATGCATTATTTTCTTTTCTTAATAAAAAGATATAAACGATATTAATAATAATAGCTTGAATTTTTTTTTTTGAGTTATAAGGGGCAGGCACTCTACAAAAAAAAATTCTCTTAAATGTTAACAAGATTACTATTTTTATAATAATTTTAATTACTTTTGTAGTAATGATTTTGACATATCAATATCAAAATCTGTCACAATTATTTATTTGTTATTTTGAAATTTAAGAAATATTTGTTCGTTATTTTTCATCAATTTTTCATAATAACAAAGTCTTTAATATGGACCTTTTATTTTCATAATAACAAATTTTAGTCTCTAAGGTGGCTTAATCTCTGTATCAATGGAGCGTAGCTAAATTGTTGTCATCCAGTTTTTTTAAAAAATGTATATTTGTGACCCTGATATTTTGCATTTCAATACGGCATATTCCGTGATTTATATACCTTCGGATGTTCACAACTTTACTTAGAAATATTAATATCATTGTTCCGCTATTTATTGTTTTTTTTGCTGCTTAGCATATAGTACTTTATGTTTTTCCCCCCTTCTTATTCGTTGACATAAATGGTCATAGATTATATGAAATGTTGCTGAAACATTTCCTAAATAATCTACAGATTTTTTAATAAAAATATAAAGATTATTATTGCGGTTAAAACGACAAGCATTATTATTAATCATTACTATTATTAAGCGATTAATTTGTTTTTGCCGACCACTCATCGACGTTGATCGACTTTAGTGTCAGAAAATTAGCCACGTAGAACTTGGGCGGCTGGGCCCCCGACGTTTTGCATCCACGCGTATTTATTTATTAAGCGAGTGTTTATTAATTAATAAAAAAAACTGTGAATTTTTTAAAGGGAGGAAGTTCCAGCGTCATTGTTCTGCTGGCTTCTTCTACAAACGAAGCGTCATGGCATCTTCTCTCTACACCACGCTTCTGTCAAATTCTCTACAGCACGAGAGAATTACGAAGCAGAGTTTATCACACAATCTCTCCAGCCTATCATCAAATAAGACTGTTAACCTTTCTCTTGCTCTTGAATATCCTAACAAATTACTTAAACTCTCACCAAGTAGACACCATGCTACTATAGCCTCCGCAGTGTCCAGTTCTACAGGCAAGCTTCTATCGCTAATTAGATTTCTGTTTTGTGTTCTAACTTTCGAATAAGGTTACTCCTATTGTGCTTCTTCATATATATTTTTTTCGCTTCTTACTAGTTGCTGGTTACCGTGCTGGAGATTATCGTTGGGTTGAATTGAATCGTAGCTGATCATTTAATGTTGAATAGGGGTTCAGCCAAGCGAAGAAACAAGGAGTTCTCTGGACTCAGTGAAAGTCTTCGATTTGAAAGGAAATGGAATTCCACTTTCCGACCTGTGGAAAGATAGAAAAGTTGTCGTTGCATTTGCTCGCCATTTTGGGTGAACTTATTTTTCTCAATCCACGAATTTAGTTACTATTATTTGTTGGAAGCTGAGGAATATCTCTTGTTATGAGTTTGTGTAATAGTTGTCACTATGCCTCAGGTGCGTGCTTTGCCGGAAGAGGGCTGATTATCTTGCCTCCAAGAAGGTTAAGTTTGCAACTGTGCTTAAACATACGTGAACCATATATTTCATTAATGTTGAACGGTCGCGCATATTTCCTTTTCCTTCCCTTCTTCGGTAATTAGAGGAAGTTAATTGTAGTATGTTCCTTTCACCTTATGTTATGTACAACTCGAGAAGATTCATTTTATTTGTGTCTTGTCTTTGGCACATAGTTCTTGAGAAGGTTATTCTAGTTGTTGTGTATGATGAATAGTTCTATAGCTTCCTTATGTTTTCGAATATAATTTAGCTTTATTGTTCTGGAAGAAGGATGCTCGTCACTTTTAGGTCTAAAACTTATCCAGACTGGTATTTTAGTGTTCTCATTTCTCCAACTCAATTTCTTCTATCATACCTTTCTTTCTGTCTCCATCCGAAACTGTCTTCGAATCCCCAGTTTTGATGTGGTTCTGCTTTCTTCGTTTATGACTCTATGGATTTAACTAGTTCTTGGTAAACCATTTATAGACAGTAATCACATTAATTCCAATTCCCAATTGCCAATTATGGATTGGAAGTCTTGGGTAATTAAGTTGCACCTTCACTATTACCTTTGGAAGATCATTTTGAGGGAAATGGGATCTTCTAGGAACTGAATCACTAATTTACTCTTTCAAATATTAACTGGAATTAAAGGTCTTGATTTAATCAAAAGCTGCATAATCCTTATTGGGGATGCCAAAGGTAGAGAATGAGTACTAGATTTCCATTATCCAGCTTGTAAGAAAAGTCGTGCTGGGAGGATTCCATTTCGTTATTTCTGCAACATGGTTAATTTATTAAGCATACAATGGGAATATCTCCATTTCACTCAAACCTGCCTTTGACATCATAGCACTTTTATGTCGGCAGGATATAATGGACGCATCTGATGTGGCACTTGTACTGATTGGACCTGGAAGCATTGACCAGGTATGTTGGGTGATGGGTAGTAAATGTGTGAGTGTCCATGTCTCCACCTACGATATGTTAAGCTTGTTTTAGTGATAAAATTTTTGCACGGAAAGAGCACAAGTATTTGCTTCTGTTCTTGAATTGTACCTTTCCCCTCTTTCTCCTCGCTGGGAATAATGGTTCTTTGCTCAAGACAATTCGAGTCCAATGCATCCATAGATTAAAAATTTCAGCCCTCTGATGTCATCCTAGTGTGATGAACTTTGTTTGTTGATACATATACACTATACAGGCCAAAGCCTTCGCTGAACAAACAAAATTTCAAGGAGGTACATTGCTTCTAACATAATAGCTGTGTGAGAATCTTTGAAATTTTTGTCACCTTATTGCAGCATAATGACGGTGCCGTATTTTCTGTTTCAGAAATTTATGCAGACCCCGCTCATGCATCATATGAAGCCTTTGAATTTGTTTCTGGAGTTTTAACTACATTTACTCCCAATGTAAGTGAGATGCAAACTTTTTTAATAAAAAATGCATATACAGACAGCTTGCCAGAGGCTGAAATAAACTGAGATTCTATAGCTGGGCAATAGACATCCCATGTTAATTTCAGCTGTAATACTGCAGGCAGGTCTTAAAATAATCCAGTTATACATGGAAGGTTACCGACAAGATTGGAAGCTGTCATTTGAAAAGGATACTGTTTCCAGAGGTGGCTGGTACGTAAATTCTGCCGCAAGTAGTGTTACATACAAGGTGCAATAGAGAGGGAGCCCCCTATTGTCTCCTTGGGGATTCCCCTCTTGTTTACTCTTTTTTCTTTTCTTCATTTTTTTTTTTTTGGGATAAGGTGCTTAAATACCCCGGTAGTATTCATGAACACCCAACATCTAAAAGTTTTTTTGGCTCTTATATGCCTAAGAGTTTATATTCGCAGCAAAAATACCCTAGTCATTATCCGCCATTAAGTTTGACTATTAAAATATGTGATTTAATTGGTGTCTTGACATGTTAAACTTAACGGTGGATAACGGTTTATGATAGAAATACTACGAAATAAAACTTCTAGAACATCTAAGAGCAAAAAAACCTTCCAGGTGTTAGGCGTTACTTCCTTGATATCCTGGGATATTTAAGCATCTTATCTTTTTTTGGGTGTTTCTCAGCCACGATAAGCCTTGTGTTTATTATGATCTAAGAAGAGATCGATGTCATTCCTGTTTAATGGCGTTAGTCTGCCCCTTATGCCACCTTCCTTGTAGAAGAAACTTCTAATTGCGCAAATTTGGAATGTTCTCACTGACTCTTCTGGAGAAATTCAATGATGACTGACGGAAACTTTACCACATTCTAAAAGATTACTTTTGGTTATTGATGTCATGCTTGGATATATTACGAGTGACAGTTATTCAGTAAGAGCATCCCCGTATCACAAGGACCTAAACATCTGAAATATGATTATTTTTTGCGAAGGGCAGAGGAAAACCTTCTGGTTTAGACTATTCGCAGATCTCTCTTAAAACACTTTCACGAGGAGAAAATTACATCTAATTTGCATCATGTCAGTTTTTTTTCTTTTCCTTTCTCACTGTTATACTCTTTCAGCTTGTAGCAAGTCATTGGCAGGGTCGTTTTCTTCTTTTTGTGCTTGCTCAGACTATTATGAACTTGGCTATGTGACAGGAAACAAGGAGGAATTATAGTTGCAGGTCCTGGTAAAAGTAACATCTCGTACATTCACAAGGCATGTGCAACCTTCAAGCCCGACCCATCTTTTACTTATTTGAATTCTCCTTGTAGCTCAGCTGCATCTAGCCCTCGAGAGTATTCTTGGTCAGTTTCATATTATTCAATTAGCGTGTTGACATTTTTCTGACATTCTCTATTTGCATGACTATGCACTGCAAGCAGGACAAAGAGGCAGGGGATGATCCCCCCATTGAAGATATTTTAAAAGCATGTGGCTCGTAAATGTTGGCGATAAGGATCTTCTCTTTTCTTGCTATATGTACGCCTTGTAAATACTGGAGTCTTCCTACTTTGGCAAGGAGCTTGACTAGAGGAATGTTAATTCCAGAACACTAGGGATACATGAAATGTCGGGAAAATAAGAATGTAAATTGGAGTGATAGTTGTAGTTTCATTAGAGAAAGTAAGAAAAAAGCAAGCATTGTTGAATGTTGAATAGTGGTAACAAAATTGATATTAACATTACATAAAGATTATGCAATGAATATACAAAATTACTTACTTTCTTGTATTAAAATACTATGTTCTTTAATATAAAACATAATTGACTAATTTGATGATGTTTTGGCAAAAAAAAAGAGTAATTTGAGGGGATTGAAGAAGTTAAATGAGTTATTTTAAAATATTTATATTTATTATTTTTTAAAATTAATTTATATCACATATAAATTAATATATAATTTAATAATATATACAAGTATTTAAAAAAATCTGTTTTAAGTAAGTCATTTATGTAATTTTTTTAATTTTTTTAAACTAGTTAATTAGATTTTATATTAAAAATCAGAAGTAGTTTTGTGTTTGTTGTGTTTGTTCTAATTTTCTATGAATGTTTGAGGCCTCTGTTACTGTTAGTGGTTTTTCCTTCCTGCATCGTGAAAACTAAATTCCCTTTCTTGCCAACAAAACTAAATTCCTTTTAAAAGCTTGAATATTTGCTCACGGGTATTTATATACGCATAAAAAGAATTTGATAAATAATGTTTTGATTTTGAACTTGTACTGTTAACAGTTCTTTTCGCGCACTTAAATCTCTCCCTACTGGATATTAGTATGGTTAATTCTTCCTCCTCCTTTTTTTGACCAGCATACTTACTCCATGTTTACCCAAACGAAACGGAATTACCGACCAAAAAAGAAAATTGCTTAGCCGAAGGCGGGAAACACACAGAAGTAGCGGAGATTGCCGAGGCCCGAGAGAGTCAAGGGGCTAAAGAGAAACACGTTAGCCCTAAAATCGCTGAGCTTTGGTTTCCCGCCCATCCACTCGCTGGTTACCGCTAGAGTGTAGTGGGAAACAGAGTCAACACTTGCTGTGGATATGGCGGACAAGAAAAAGCGCCGTCGTGTAGAGCCATCCGACGATGGAGAACAGCTTCCCTTCAAGAATAAGCTTAAATCTGATTCAGTTATTCTCCAAATCCTCAAGGACTTCGGCAATTCTTCATCTTCTGATTCCTCTTCTTCCTCCAAAGCCCTAACTCTTCAAGATCTCTCTCTTCCATTCGCTTGCCGCGAGGTCACCGACCTATCCCTCTCCTCTGTACAGTCCACCATTGAGTCCCTCGTTCTCAGCATTGCTCGATCTATTCTTTCCGGCCAAGGCTTCTCCTTCGACGTTCCCTCTCGCTCCGCCGCTAACCAACTCTACGTACCCGAGCTCGATCGCATAGTCCTCAAAGACAAAACATCCCTCCGCCCTTTTGCCAATATATCCACTGTTCGCAAAACCGCCATCACAGCTCGCATCGTTCAGCTTATCCACCAATTGTGCCTCAAGAATATCCATGTCACCAAGCGAGACCTCTTCTACACGGATGTGAAGCTTTTCCAGGACCAGACCCAATCTGATGCCGTGCTCGACGATGTCTCTTGTATGCTGGGTTGCACTCGTTCTAGTCTCAATGTAGTTGCTGCCGAGAAAGGGGTTGTTGTGGGCCGTCTTATTTTTAGTGACAATGGGGATATGATTGATTGTACGAAAATGGGTATGGGTGGGAAAGCCATCCCGCCGAATATTGATAGAGTCGGGGATATGCAGAGTGATGCTTTGTTTATACTCTTGGTTGAGAAAGATGCAGCCTACATGAGATTAGCTGAGGATAGATTTTACAATCGGTTTCCATGTATAATTGTGACAGCGAAGGGGCAGCCTGATGTTGCCACGAGGCTTTTCTTAAGGAAGATGAAGATGGAGTTGAAGCTACCCGTGATTGCCCTTGTGGATAGTGATCCCTACGGGTTAAAAATTCTATCAGTTTATGGCTGTGGGTCGAAGAATATGTCGTACGATAGCGCGAATTTGACAACTCCTGACATAAAGTGGCTGGGGGTTAGGCCGAGCGATCTGGATAAGTACAAGATACCTGAGCAGTGTAGATTACCAATGACTGAGCAGGATATTAAGACTGGGAAGGACTTGCTAGAGGAGGATTTTGTCAAGAAGAATCCCGGCTGGGTTGAGGAACTGACGCTGATGGTGAAAACTAAGCAGAAGGCGGAAATACAGGCTTTGAGCTCGTTTGGCTTTCAGTATCTCACGGAAGTTTATTTACCACTTAAACTGCAGCAGCAGGATTGGCTCTGAGTGACGCCCAGCATAATGGTTAAGCCACTGCTTATCCTAACAAGCTGGCGTGCTTCTTACTCAGATATGAATTTAGTTCAATGGGGCAATGTTATAAGATTTTATTAACAGCTTACATTGTAAGATAATGTTTGGATTTTAAATTCTCTTTCATCAAAATCACCCAATAATTTCCATTTAAAAATTACGTTAATCTTATCAGTCTTTCAGCTTCTCTTCTACATGCATGTCGCATTTGTTTGTGCTTCTTATTATACGACGGTTTAGATCCCCACCCCCTCAAAAAAAAAAAAAAAAAAAAAACAACTCAACTGTGCACTCTCCGCTTTTCTCTGCCTCTTTCTTTCTTCCCTTAACTATACTCCTGCATTTATGTATCCAAAACTGAGCCGATGCTAACTATAACAAATTTCAAAATTGAAGGCCGGTATGTTTGTGGATTGCTTAGGGCTGACGTAGCTCAATGCTTCTAAGAAATCTTTTAGGCAAGGTCACGAATCACGATAGCAATGAAGATAAGCACAAGTGCAACTGATGGTAAAATGTGCCGGAGAAAAGAGTGCAAGAAATGATTTTATTTCATAAACCTGCGGATTATCCATTCTCGGATAGCTCTTAATTTTGGTTATAGATACATGTACAGTATATATATACAGGTTAAATAAGTCGGACCAGGGGCAGAACTGAGGGGAAACTTGGCATATCCAACTTCGGTACATTTTTCTTAATTTCTAGGAAATTAAGAATATATCAGATCCTGTCTATTATTGCTTACTTTTCTCCGCAACCAGTCGTGTAATGACTTTTTGGTTACCCTCAGCCTCTGTAGAACTGCAGGTCTCCTGGTTTTGAGTTGTACTGATGTGGGCGAGATATCCTTTCCTGGTACAGCTTCCAAGCTGGGATTTAGTATGACATGATTCTCAAGTTTTACGGTGTCATCTAGCGCAAATCTGGTTCTGGCTGGCATAACTTCAAGCTCCAATTCATCCTGGAGAAGTTTGGTTATCGTATCTTGGACTACTAATATGTGTTTGGCTGGAGTTGCGTCTGCTTTAGTAGCTCCTATGATGATTAGAATATCATTATTCACTGAATGTCCTGGAACCATCAAGACCATGAGTTAGGGGTAGCCCTTGTTCTACCACATTAAATTTTGTGCATTTTGCTATTCATCTCATTTCCCAAGTTCATGTGGTTACGAGTAGCTACACAGGCAATATGACCGTGCAAGATTGCAACAACACGTTCAAGATCTAAAGTTTCCGCTCGTACCTAAACCACAGTTCTCTTTGATCATTCGCAGAACAGCAAGAATGACCAATCGTGCTTCAACCTGTTGATAGAGAATGTTTGAGAGCACAAAGTGAGAATTATGATTCACTGAAATCAAATAGAATTTAAAACTGCTGTTTGACAGACACCTATTGCTAATGGCGTTAAACAAAATGCTCAAAAATCTTCTGTAGAAAACAGGTTATCTTTAAAAGCCGTGCTCGAGACAGATTTATGCCAGATAATGACAAAGCAACTAAAAAGCACCTTGGTGAGCCCTTGAACATCAATTGCTAGGATGTCCGCTACCCTCTTTTGCAGGTGTGCTGCAATTTTCTCGAGAAGTATGCTCTGAGGTCTCTCTAATTCAGATTTATTGCTGGAAGTAAACTCTCCTTGGTTCTGTCTGTCATCTTGTATTACTCCTTCACACCACTCCTCAATCAGTTCCTGGAGATAGTAATCATTGGCTTTGTACCTGCAATATGTCAAAGGATCTTCCGGATCAATCCCCTAAATATACAGCACAACACGGAATCACTTCCCTGTGTCCCAGTAATCGAATGCAAAAGTGGAAGCATATTAGGAAATTCTATGTCTACTAAGAGCATAATGAAAAGGAAGAGTTTTCTGGATAGAAACATGAATAATTCGTAGAGAAGTCATAGTAACTCAGTCACATTGACATGTCTTATAATTATTTTTATCCTAGATAAATTTATAATGAGAAGGAATAGCAATGGCAATATTTAGTCCCCAGTAGCAACCAATTGTTTTGAAAGCTCCAGGCATGCTCAGGTTGGCAATATGAACATAGCATCAATGCCCATAACGGCTAGAGAACCGTAGAGAGAAAGTCAAATTTCTTCTTCAGTAATATTGCCAACCTCAATCCCTCAAACACACGCTGGTCATTTAATGTAAAATACGAGGAAAAGATGTTATTTCAAACTTTCTAACATGTGACGAGGGCATGCATATGACATATACACATAGCTTGAAAAAGGTATTCAAATAAGCAAGTTATAGTCAGAGTCCAAGCTAACACACCCTGATTTCCGCATATCCTGGTATATGGCCAAGCATTGTTGGACTTCATGTAAAGAGCCATATTTAGTGCGTGCTCTTAGAAGGGTAGTGTATGTCACCTGACAAAATTATAGATAAGCGTCAATTTGATAAAGCTTCATCTCTTGCCTCAAATTTTATTACAAATAACTCGTTATTTTATCATATATCTATTCACATATATTGAACACCTTCTCTCATTCCTATGTCTTGAAAACGGAGAGTCAATATTGTTTACAAACACTATATTCGTCTTTAGTTGGTTTTTATAATTTTGGATACGGAATTCAAGAGCAACTTCATCCAAATTGGATTTAGTTTAGTAGCCACAGCAGATATTAGGTTACCATCTTGCCAAAATAGAGCCATCACAACATTTGGAACTCACCAAATTTGGGTGTACTTCATATCTTTTCATTTCTTCGTATAAGGATAATGCTTGCTCAAAATTCTTACTTTCCACGCAAACCTGTTACCCAAAATGCACCATTTAGTAATGTTTAAGGCCAAATGATTTGAGGATAGTTGAAAGCTATGAACTGAACTCATTTTGACAGAAAGCTTTGAACCTTAATCGCTGTTGTATATGTAACAACATCAGGTTCAGTCCCAGCATCACGCATAGTTTTCAAAATCTGTATTGAAACACAGTCAAGTCATCAGAGAACTAAAAGCATTATGGTACCACTGTTAGTTTATACATATCATTTTAGAAGATTGGATGCTGCTAAATTCTGCTTGTGATTTTTCCTTTTTCTTCCTGAAGGTGACTGATTGCTAAGGTTTGTAGAACAGAAAAAGATGAACCTCAATGCCCACAAGGCCACCAGTCCGTAAACAGTTTTCATGGCCTTTATTTTCAGGGCTACGATAAATTTGCCGGTCGCCATCATTTACCTTGTAGTAATAATATTTTGTCTTATAGAGGAATTTCCTGTCGACAATATGGAAAAATTTTATGTTTATATATTCTTTCCGCCCAGCTAACCATTTTTTCCTTAAATTAATGGAGTGTTACTTCTATAGGTACTAAGAAAACAAGCTATACATAAAACTGATACCTAAGAAAAGGGAAATCGAACATTCTAGGACAAATATCATTTGGTTGACATATATTTCAGTATTATCATCTCTATGTGGATAAAAAGCTCCAATGGTAATGAAGAAAAAATCAACTATGACAATAAATGTATCGTTTTACTCGCAAGTTGTGATCTGTTTCCAGACGTAAATCCTAATTCAACCTGCATCAACCATGATCATATGTACCTGACCGAAAACAGTTTACCAAAACTTGTGCCAAACGGTTTAGATGATATGGAGTAACTAAAACTTTACCTCAAGGGCACCCTCTACATTGCCTGATGCTCCGCATATATCTATCAAGGTTGACCAGCTTATGTGATTAGGAGTAAGACCTACGACTTTCATCTCCTTGATTAATGCTTTTGCGTGGTAGTAATCACTACCACAGGCCTTCAATAAAATATTATATGTCGTTGTAGTTGGTGTAAACGGGAACCTCTCAGCAAAACTCAAGATATGTGAATAAGAAATGCCATTAGGCCCAGTAGGAGCCGACTGGCAATCTCCCTGCTCTAAGTTGATACTGTGGTCTCCATTAATGGGCTGCAACATCTTATTTCCCTTCCAAGACTGGAAAAAGCGAAAAGCTCTGTCATACTGACAAGCTTCAACACATGCATGCAAAATGATGTTGAAACACTGCGTATTAGGTTCACAGCCAGCCAAAAGCATTTCTTCAAATAACTGAATTGCTTGCTCTACAAGCCCTGCATGTGCACAGGCATTGATTAATGAAGACCATGCCACAGTATTGGGGGAGACACCGGCAGACAACATATCCTGTTTGATTTTTAATGCCATTTGCCACAACTTAGCATCTGCAAAAACCTAAAATTTGGCGTGTGGTCAGAAAGTACCAGATAATCTGAACAAATATCAGTTGCATCTTCAGAGAATGTAGAAGAACTTAGGTGCTGTAACATCAATAGGACGACCATGATTTTCTTCATCTATTTTGATGTACCTTTATCATTGTGCTGTAGGTGAAGACATCTAATTTTAGCACTCCCGCCGATTCCAAATGTTTAACTTCCTTGTATATTTCTTGGGCAAAGTCAACTCTTCCAGCAACACAACATGCCTTCAGCAGGATGTTGTAAGATGCCAAATCTGGCTTCAGACCAAGATTCTAGATATGTAGAACGTATTAGCAAAAATATACTAAGTTATCAGATGAAGGCAAAGAAACTTTTGTTAACATGTCAATTCTTGACAAAAAAATGAGGCATATGCTTTCGAATGATATGTTAACCTATACAAGAATCTCTAATCAGTCTTTTTTTTTCTCTTTTTGGAAACAAATATTAAATTTATAGCAAGCTGCGCTATTCATGAGTTATAACAATGTGGCTCATCCTAGACTTTGTTCAATGCATAGAAAAACACGTCTAGTTGAATGGAAAAATGGCGACATAATTTAATTGACCGGGTTTAATCATCAGTGTATAATATAAAACTGTAACAAGTCCCATTATATATAAGCCATGAATATTATAGTTCACCACTAACCTTGAACAGATGCATGACAATACACGCTTATTTATATATTAAAAGAAGCAGCAAGGGCAAGGAGTCCTCTACACAAAATATGGAACTTGCATCATCAAAAGACTAGGAAACAAATTAATTTCAAGTCATGAGATTTGAGCATGGTCAAGCAAATGTTAGAATCCTAAGCTTGACACAGTCGTGAAGAACCCAAGTATAAGCAAGTAGATGAGCTACACGCACACACAGCTGTTCTTTTGCTTTCTTCTCCATGCCCCCCCCCCCTCTAAATAGAGCATACACAGGTGTATGTCTGCATGGGTGTGGGTGTATTAATGCCAGAAAGATGGAAGGAGAGACGTTACCTGCATATTCTTATATAGATCCAATGTGTAATTAAGATCGTGGGCATTCACATTCATCAGACTGTTAAACACATATATATTCGGACTGATCTTCTGACTAAGTAGATCCTGCGCCAGAATGCATGCAAATGAAGAATGAGATAAATATCTCAGAAATATTGAATAGTACGGACTACATATTTTCCTTGGGTGCAAGTACAGACTACATTTTAAACACTCATATATTCATCGTTCACAGCATGATTGAGCCTCCGTTTTGAAATCCTTAACAAAACCTAAAGGAAATACCACCAGTTTGATATGCTTCAGAGTGCACCATAAAAATCAAAAGTCCCTGAAAGGGCAAACTAAGTAAATATTATGTAAATTGATAGGGAAATACCTCGTATATATACCTAGATTTCTGGTAATCCCCACAAAGACCGCAAGCATCAATTATTGCTCGATGTATGTACATATTGGGACCAGTCAAGTTTTTCTTGGATGTTTCATAAGCTCTTAGTGCAGAAGTTAAATCTCTCATTCTTCCAAATTCAGATATAATGGTGCAGAATAATATCTGTGCGTGTGGAAGAAGACATGCATACCTACAAGATGTGATATAATCAGGCAGTGGCGAATATAGAAAAAGTCAACAAATGAAGCATGTCATGGGAAACAATGCAATATGAATAATAAGTTTAATAAAAAGGAGGAGGAAAACACATAAAGCAATGTATTAATAAGAAATATATGGATGCTCAGATTTATGCCAGCAACGCGGTTAAGAAATAACAATCACACATCTCCTGTAACAAAGTAAAATCATACCTCACAGCTAGATTTGGTTTACGATTATGAACACATTGTTTGATCATATCCGCTGGCTGAACAAGTTCTCTGATTGATAACTGGAAACCTGGATGAAGAAATTTATATGTTATTTATTACATCATAAAATCTCAATCAATGCGAAGCAGCTCCATAGTTGAGATAACTTAGGGCAGCATAGTTGCATGTATTAGATGTTGTGCATCTGAACAGCTAGGCCGAACTGTTTTCTATTTTAGTTATATACCCACATAAAACCATGATTCCAGAATTAAAGATATAATCAGCATAACGAACACATCAAAAGCGTAAAGTTATCAAATCAATAACATTGATAAACTTTAAAAGCATGCCGAATCATTGTCTGTATATACGATAAATTTCTGAATACCCTGGAGATTTCTCAGGTAGAATGGGTAGAATAAAAAGGTGACAAAAGAATTACGTGAGAGAACCTCCATCAATTCAACGGCTTCCTCGAGTTGCCCGAGCTTCACAATTTGGTAGCAATCCTTTCCCAGCAAGTCTCCGGCAGACCCATAAACCCGAGCAGACAAAGAAATCCCAAGCTCCTGAACTTTCTTCAAAGTATCAATCACAGCTCGAAGTCTCCCGGCTCGAATGCCCACTCTAATCCCATTCGCAAGTAGCTCAGCACTGAAAGCTGGAGCAAATTGTGACGCATTTACACCGGAATCAAGCACAGCCTCGACGACCATTTCGAAATCTTGGAAATTCGCATCTTGGGCGAGCTTGGAGGCGAGGTGGACATAATGTTTGAGGGGGATTTGGTGGTGAGTGTTAGTAACGGTCCAGGAGGGGGTGGAGAGTGAAGAGGAAGAAAATGAGGAAAAGGGAGAAGATTGTTTGGCAGATGATGAGAACTTAGGAAGTGAAGACTTATAGGGCTTGATGGGGTGGTTATGGTGTGAAGGAGAAGAGGGATTTGGAGGAGTAACAGTGGAGGAGCCAAGGACGACAAAATCTCTCATTCTTGGCCGACCGTTTGTGCTGTATTGATGATGAGGAAAAGGAGGTTGTGTGGCTTTTGAGTTTTGATACCCGGAGCGGATTGGATATAAATGGCGGGTGTTCTTCCTTCTTTTTTTTTTTCCTCCCACAAGCGGGTCTTCTGACATGAGCCTGCTCTTTGGAAGTTAGGACGTTGTTGAAAATTCGAAAGCGCATGTTATCCCCCAAAAAAAAAAAAAAAAGCCAGAACGAAGGCGCTCAATTGTGTAACTGTGTCTTCAATTCAGATATATTTAGAATAGTTTATAACTAAAATTTTAATCATAATTTATTAAATATAAAATAAATATATGAAAAGAATTTTATTTCAATTTATATTATAGGTACTTTTTAACATTATTCCAAACAAACTCTCATCAAACTGTTATGGTCATTGGCATCCTTCTATAGCCAACATAGGATTATATACTAATATGACTAGTTTATAAAAAAAGTACATATCATTAAGTTTTCGTAACATTTAAATTATGAATAGTAGTTTTTATTATACAACATTCTTATTATATATCCGTTGATTTGTTGGTTTTGTTGTTCGGTGCAGTGATTTGTATTGTTTACACTATGTTGTTTTGGATCATCTAACCCATGAATTGTAAATCTTGTTTTGTCTTCGTTATATAAATTGATTTCAGAATTTTTCTGTGGTTCATATCTCATGATTTTAATTTCAAATAAAATGTCATTTTTTTTATATGGCTTGTTCACCCTTCATCCATACTAAATATGAGTTAGTTCAGATATTCACTTCGATTTTAAATATTATATCTACCCTTCAGTGTTTAGAAGTGAACTATTTGGATATTTAATCTGGTTTTTTTTATAAGAATTTGATTTTAAATATAAGATTTCAACTTAAAAAATTTGATTGAAATCAAATGATAATTCTAAAAGTGATTTTACAAAAGTAAATATGTAAGAAAAATTTTATATTAATTTATATAACAACACTTTAAAAAACTGCTTGTTGGAGCCTTTTACTTTGCTTTTCATGGCCAAAAAAATATTAAAAAAAGTTTTCATTGATTCTAACACAAGTGATAGGACAGAGTATTTTGAAAAGATAAGTGCTTGCTCCTTATAAATGAATATTTAAATTTAAATGATTGATTTAAATTATAAACTTCAAGTTACTCGTATTACTCTTTTTTCCAAAGACAACCGACATGATGACTCCCACTTAAAAATTTAGCGGTAATTTCTGAAGTCAGATATTACCAAGAGGAAGTTATATACGAATGTGTGTGGATGAAATGAAGAACACAAAGATCAATAAAATATCATAATTTGAGTCGAAGATTTGGATTTTTGTTAATAATAAAGCATTTATCGAGTTTGAAAAATTAAGTTAAAATTAATAAAAATTGAATACGAGTTGTCTCAAGGTAAAAAATAAGTTTTTTAAATGTTTAGATATTTTAAACTATCAACTAGTTTTCATTAAAGAAAAATCAATCAAAATAATCTGGAAATTGTCTGTTTATTAATTGACACATGATACTGTTAGATTCGTAAATAATTAATTAGCTGATTCACTTCTGTCCAGCGCGTTAATTTGTAATGGGTATTTAATAATGAAAATATGGGATAAACTCTGTTTCAAACGGCGAATGGGAAAAATTTGCTATTTTAATTTTATAAAATATTTTGCACTTCTATGAGTTAATTTTAAATGATGATTTATTAATATTATTTTTTAAAAAAGTAAAAATATTAATCACATTGAAAATTTCAATATTAACAATTTTTATTAATAAAAATATAAATCTAACATTGCGAACAGAAAATTCAGAAGACAATTTATAAAATTAAGAAACAAAAATAAAATTTCGTATAAAAATGGAGCTTTTATTTTTGCTAATAAATACATTTTTAAATATATTAGAGATAAAAATTATTGTTAAAATAATAAACAAATCATTAAACAATGTTTAACGAAGCGCAAGTGAAAACGATATTGATGGAGGAGAGTCCTAGGCCCATTAGGATTAGGTAACGGGGAAGTTGATAAAAGAGGGTCCCGGGCCCATTAGGCTCAAGCCACCATAGGCCGACACGTGCGCAGACGCCAGGGGTACATTGGGAATTCTGATATTTCGTAAGGTTCTCGACCTCGTCCGCTCTCTCAAGGGACCAAACCCTAGCCTGACCTCCCCTTCCGGTGTCCTATTACATCTGCTCATCTGATAAAGTTCTTCTCTGTTCTAACAGCACTGGAACCCGGATTTTGTACATATTTTTTCATCCCTATTTTCTGAAAAATTGAAGATTCTTTTTTCTGGATGCTGATCAGAGATGCCGCCTAAGCAGCAATCGAAAGCTGATTTAGCAAAGAAGCAGAAGATCGTAGAGGATAAAACGTTTGGTCTAAAAAACAAGAACAAGAGCAAAAATGTCCAGAAATACGTTCAAAGCCTCAAGCAGTCCGTGCAGCCAAAGCCTGATCCTTCCAAAACCGCTGCCAAGGTCCCGATACATTAACCGTCTTATCAAATTGTTTTCCTCAATATTTTCTTTTGCAATGTGTTTATTTAGTATTTCACAATCACTAATTAATTGCATGCATTCTCGATTTCGTTAATTGGGTTGTGGAGCATTGTATTAGCTGCAAAATTAATGTGATATGGTTCTACTCTTTTTGGACTGATTGTGTGATGATAATAACAGAAAAAGAAGGAGGAGGACAAGGCCAAGGAAAAGGAGCTAAATGAGTTGTTCAAAATGGCTATTACCCAGCCTAAAGTGCCAGTTGGTAAGAGTCTTCGAGTTGTTTTCCTTTGTATGTTTAACCTTCTTTCCCGCCGAATAGATTTACTTAGTTATATGGAAACTAATTAGAGGATTGAATCAGGTGTTGATCCCAAGTCCATAGTATGTGAGTTCTTTAAAGCAGGACAGTGTACCAAGGGCTTTAAATGCAAGTTCTCACATGATTTGAATGTCCAGAGGAAAGGGGAAAAGATTGACATTTACAGCGACAAGCGGGACCAGGGTATTTTGCATCGAGCTTCAGTAGTGATAGTATAGGGGTTATCTGTTGTTTTGGACTTTTGATGCCCAAAAATTTCCTTTCATAACTTTTTGTATGCTTGTTATGTTAGAAACGATGGAGGATTGGGATCAAGAGACTTTGGAGAAGGTGGTGGAGTCAAAGAAAACCGAGTATCAACAGAATAAACCAACTGACATAGTAAGTTTTGTGAGGTTTCGTCTGACCTGTCACTGTCACGATTATTTTTTTCGATACAAACTGTCATGATGGTTTGAGTCATCTCTTTTCAGTGTCAGTTTGGTTTTCGCGCATTACCATAATGTTTGGTTCAGTTAAGTGAAGGGATTTTAGTGAAGGGCAAGGAGAGAAGGGAGAGGTTATGATGTTTCGTTGTTTGGTTCGGTTAGAAGGGAGGGAAAATGAAGGATTTAATATTACCTTGTTTGGTATGGAAGGGGAAGAGAGGGATTTCTCTCTCTCGTTTGGGAAAACAGAATGGCTTGTTTGGGGGCATGGTTGGCAAATAGAGGAAGAAGCAGAACTCATCTGACCGTGTGAATGTTTTGAAAGTTAGGATAATATGAATCTTCGAAATGCATAAATTGGTGGGGTGTTAATTTAATCAGAGTGAATTTAGCTGCACCCTCCCCTTCAAATCTCCCCACTTCTGGAGGGGAGGAAGAAGATTCATTAAAATATAGCCTTCCCCGTCCCTTTTTCTCCCTAAAACTAATGAGGGAGGAGCGCAAAACCCCTCTTCTCCAAATCCCTTCAACCAAACATACCATAAGGGGTTTGTTGCATGTGTTGGATGAAAGTCATTTTTCTCATATCATATTTGCCATTTGACATGCAACGCTTGTTGTCATTTGTGTATATGTTCAGGTCTGTAAGCATTTTTTGGAGGCAGTGGAGAAGAAGCAGTATGGTTGGTTTTGGGTCTGCCCAAATGGTGGTAAGAATTGCCACTATAGACATGCCCTCCCCCCTGGATATGTTCTAAAATCTCAAATGAAGGCCCTGTTGGAGGAAGAAGCCGAAAAGATGCCAATTGAGGAGGAGATTGAAGATCAGGTGAAAAGGGTTTTTCATGGCATGTTTTCTCATTTTTCATTGTGCTGGTTATCTAACATATTAGTTTATTACTTTAGCGCTCCAAATTGAAAACTACTACTCCTATGACTCCTGAGCTATTCGTGCAATGGAAGAAGAAGAAGATTGCAGAAAGAGATGCCAGTTTGGCTGAACAACAGGCAGAGAGAGCTAAGAATGATCGCATGAGGTATGTACCCTCTTTTCACTCCCTTGCGCATGTGATGATGTGTATATGCACCCTACTATTCAAGTCGATGCTCCTCCTTAAAGCTATTTGTGAAAGCTGATGGGCTTTAACCTGTTTGCTTCTTTTGCTAATCATGTTGTGTTATTTACCCTTTCATTTGCAGTGGTCGCGAGCTATTTTTGTCTAATGCTAGCTTCTTTGTGGATGATATTGACGCATGTGACAAGTATCAAAGAGAGTCAGAATCTAACGATAATGAGCAGAAGGTTAGTTTTCCTTGTCTGTGTTTGTGCATATGTCATTTGCATTTTTCATGGAAAAGGGGAAGCAGTCTTTTTTAATCCTAAAGTGATGGTTGTATTTGATTTTGAGTTCTAGCACTAACATAATGGCATGTGTTATAGATGTGTATGGATCTTTTTAGTTTATTAACTTGTGGTTATAGTATTTTTTTAGGGATCAATTGGATCTTGGCCTACATGAGGGAGGGAAGGGAGGAAAAAGGAATTCCCCCCGGGGGATTTTTTAAGGGATCGGTCACCTATCAACTTAACAATTATTAGGTGTACTGTTCGGTTTTTTCTTTTGGGGGGGGGGGGTCTTTTTTAGTCTAAGTAGTCCAATTCACTAACCTCGCTTGGAATAAAGGCTCTATGTTTTTTTTGTTGGTCTTTGGTCTAACTCCATTTGGGCTATAAATTTCACTTGAAGGGGTGAGGATGAAATAATGGGGATGGGAGTTAATGCTATTTGTTTTTGTTGTTTTGTTAATTGTTAATATCCTTACCTGATGGTTGAGACACATCGTAGCAGGTTGTCTAGTAAGTTGTTGTTATGTTAGCTCTTCATTACTTAGATGTGAATATGTGTTATAATTTACTTGCATTTTCTTTGCCAAACTATCTTGAAAGACCAGTATTTTCATCTATTGTTTGGGCACTACCTTGCACCTTCAAGGAGTGATGACCCTAGATGCCTATCTAATCAGATCCATAGAATAGAAGATCAAGGTTCTTGAACAAATGAGTATAATGCTTGCATTTAGTTTGCTTGGACTTCCGAGTAATTGCTTAGTCAAATCAAATTTCAAAGGGAAAAAAAATCTACACAAGGCATATGTTGCCAGAAAGGATCCAGAATAGTACGAGTGTGTTAATTTAGTGTGCTCATGCTAGGACTTCTATGTCTTCTTAGGATGGTAATGACTTCCAGATTTAATTGTCTTTCTCAGTCTCCCGCCATTTCTTACCCTCCTTTGCTATATTAGGTGTGTGATTAATTCGAGTTCTTTAAGCATTAAGTGAATTTTTCTCAAACTGACTGTATATCCTGTTGTGTTGTGTTCAGCCACAGGCAAATGGTGATGCTGATGGTGGTCCTAGCACCTCAACAGCAGCTGATGCTGATGCTAAAGGAGACACTAATGTTGAATCAATTGATGTAGACGATGATGATGAGCTAGACATGGATGAATTGAATGAATTGGAAGCAAGTTTATCGAGGACAACGATCCAAATAAAGGAGCCGGGAGCTGAAGCTTAATCCAAGAACCAGTCAAATTCTGCATGAGGTATATTTGCCTCTGCTGTGCTGTTGAGCATTTTCCTGTGTCCACATCTTGCTATTGTTCCTGCAGGAAAGTTTTTCTACAAGAAGTGCTTGATAAAAATGAAATTGTTAGCAGCATCACTATGAATAATCGGCAGTGATATATAATTGGTTCTCTGCAGTCAATCTTATTGGACCTCCTATCAGACATTTTTGTCGTTTGAAAAGAGGGTAGTTAGTGCAGAGTGTATTTAGTTTTGATGTTGAGTGTCGACCTGCTCTATGCATGTAATTTTATCCTTCTGATGGCCATTGAAGCATGAACCGGAATTGGATTTGCTCACTGTATGCTTTTACTTCTCTTGGGTACCTTAAAGAACCCATTATGTTACGGGAAAAGTCACGATTGAACAAAGAAAACATGAAAAGCTACACTGGACACAAACAGGGGAAGAGCCAAGGTTAGAAAAATGCAGGAACGTGAACTGCATGATATGGTATAACTTAAGGTTCTGTATTGGTTTGGACATTAATGGGGGAAGAAAAGGTTAGGAAAATGCAATAACTTGAACTGCATGATGTGTTGTAGCATATGGTTCTGCATTGATTCGTCCGGAGCGCAAAAATCAGAGCAATAATGCATCCCTTGTTCTGGGCTCCCAACTTTGTATTGTGGAGTCTGAGAAGAGAGTTAAATTGTTGGCAGGTGGATATTTGCTAAAGAGATTTGACACTTCTTATTTATTTGCTGGCTAGTGATCCCCACTTGAGAGAAATTAAGAGGTCGTCGTACAGAAGGTGTGATGAAAATATTCCTCTGCATTCAGAGATGAAAAGGGGCTGGATGCCCTTTCTATACGAAAGCGAAACTAAAGCAAGAATGTTCAAAAGCTGTATAGGTGGCAAGCCAAAATATTCGATATTTTTTAAGTATTGCTACTACGAATATTCCTGGCGTCGTCATCATTATTTCGATTGGCCAAAATCATCATCTTCATCCTCATCGGTCATCATCAGATTTTTATCTGAAAGTATGACAATTATTTAAAGTAATCCATTTTGCAATGTCGGGTTTATCCCGTTTTTACTGGAGAATTTCACAGGAAAATTATATTTATAAAACTTGTGTTAGATTACCCGAATAATAAAGTAACCACGGCGACCCTTTGGAGACTATTTTCTTAAATGAATGTAACCACGGCGACCCTTTGGAGGCTATTTTCAAAAATGAATGTTCGTACCCTCTTTGAACTCGGGAAAATGTTAATATGCTTAGAGGGAAAAATTATCAGGAGTGCAATATCATTTATATATTGTAAGCAACTAGAATATCTCAGATTAAATGAAACAACTAGTATTTTAATTTTTATTGCACGTATATTCTTGGGAAAATCCCATATAAATACCTATTGAATTCTAAAATCCCAAATAAGTCACTCTAACTTCACAAAAGACAAATAAGCCTACAGGTATTAAATCGGAATTTGCAAATTTTGACAAATTACCTCCATGCCCTTTTTCTCATTTCCTTATCCTCTCTCTCTTCGTCGTCTTTTTTACGGCAGAGACACAGCTTGTATGGGAAATTAATGCCGTGGCTGCATCATTCTTTCACTGGGTTTTGTTAGACATTGGAGACGCAGTTGAAATATTTTAGAATAGAGAAGAGAGATCGCCATTGATTTTGGGAGCACACCATTATACAACGGATCCTCTTCTTCTTCAAATAGCGGCCATTGCGAAACTTTGTTGTTTATATTTATGAATCAAAAGAAACCATGGGAACCAAAATATAACAACTATGAGTCATCTTCTTGAGAGAGAGAGAGAAGACACGGCTAGATCTTCTTTTTCCTCAGTCATGATAGCACTAAATATAGTTACTGTCATAGAACATTCTGGTTTTTGGTAAATATCATTAGTGCAGTTGTCAAACCCATTATAAATGTTGTCAATCACATTATTTTATAATAGATTGACTTTTGTAGTCTGAATGACAAGAAAATATTATAGATATTAGTTTAATCTTAATGCTACCTTGTCATTTGAATATATTTAATGTAACTTCTGTCATAGGCTCGTTGTTTTTTTCGTAAATATTGTCATTTTAGTGGTCAATTCCATTACACATGTAGTAAATTATGAAAGTTATTGATATTATGTTTATTATGATGTTTTTCTAGTGTACTTGTATAATACATTGTCAATACATTTTGGCCCTCGTTTAATTCCCCCAAAGGCTAGGCTTAAAACAGGTTACAAAAATTGCTATGCATGTAGTAATTTTCATTATGCAAGTTATCATTCCCATTACATATTTAATAAAGTTGCCTGCAAATGAACTAAAATTGGATTGCAAATAATCAAGTTAGAAGTCTCATAATGCTTTTGTGCAACCTGTTTTAAGTCATTTACATATTATTTTACAAAACAAGTAACGAAAATGACAACTTGCATAATGCAAGTTATCATTTCCATCAAGCGACTTGTAACTTGATTATTTGCAATCCAATTTTAGTTCATTTGCAGAAAACTTTATTAAACATGTAATGGGAATGATAACTTGCGTAATGAAAATTACTACATGCATAGCAATTTTTGTAACCTGTTTTAAGTCTAGCCTTTTGGGGAATTAAACGAGGGTCAAAATGTATTGACAAGGTAGTATACAAGTACACTAGAAAAACATCATAATAAACATAATATCAACAACTTTCATAATTTACTACATGTGTAATGGAATTGACCACTAACATGACAATATTTACGAAAAAACAACAAGCCTCTAACAGAAGTTACATTAAATATATTCAAATGACAAGGTAGCATTAAGATTAAACTAATATCTATAATATTTTCTTGTCATTCAGACTACAAAAGTCAATCTATTATAAAATAATGTGATTGACAACATTTATAATGGGTTTGACAACTGCACTAATGACATTTACCAAAAACCAGAATGTTCTATGACAGTAACTATATTTAGTGCTACCATGACTGAGGAAAAAGAAGATCTAGCCGTGTCTTCTCTCTCTCTCTAAAGAAGATGACTCATAGTTGTTATATTTTGGTTCCCATGGCTTCTTTTGATTCATAAATATAAGCAACAAAGTTTCACAATGGCCGCTATTTGAAGAAGAAGAGGATCCATTGTATAATGGTGTGCTCCCAAAATCAATGGCGATCTCTCTTCTCTATCCTAAAATATTTCAACTGCGTCTCCAATGTCTAACAAAACCCAGTGAAAGAATGATGCAGCCACGGCATTAATTTCCCATACAAGCTGTGTCTCTGCCGTAAAAAAGACGACGAAGAGAGAGAGGATAAGGAAATGAGAAAAAGGGCATGGAGGTAATTTGTCAAAATTTGCAAATTCCGATTTAATACCTGTAGGCTTATTTGTCTTTTGTGAAGTTAGAATAACTTATTTGGAATTTTAGAATTCAATAGGTATTTATATGGGATTTTCCCTATATTCTTTCTTTTACGGAAAAATTGTAACAAGGTCTTACCCAAGAGAATTAATATAAAAAAGTCTATTGAAATTATTAAATTATTCTGAAGTTTTAAGAAATGTCATTGCAAAATATTTTATTTGTTTAATTACTAAATTGGTCTTTTTTTTTTAGTATGTATTGACAATAGAAAGAGTAATAATTATCAACTTAAAGTGTAACGATTAACAACTATCGCAATAAATATTAATAACATATTTTCTCAACGCATCATAAAAATATAATACATGAGTTGTCAACATCTGAAGCGATAATTGTTAATTGTTACACTTTAAATCGTTAAGAATTGCATTTTTAGTTGTTAATGCATATTTTTTTAAAAAAAAAAGGATAAGCGAAATTTGATGATTAAATAAATGAAATTTTTTGTAATGAGATTCCTTAGAACTTTAGATTAATTTGATGATTTCAAGATATTTTTTTTGTATTTAACCCTCGGGTGGGATTTTTTTGCAATTTTCTCTTTTATTTCTTTTTGCATTCGCTCTTTACATAAGATTTTACTTATTACGGTAACGTTAATGAATGCATGCCATTAGGTGGTCCCAATAAGATCAACCCTTTCTAATTTCTTCTCTTTTCCTTCGCTTTTGTTTTTCATACGGACCCCTCTAATTTACCAAACAATAATCGCTCCACTCCGTTATCCTCATCTCAATCTAGCATTTCCTCTGCTTTTAAATAAGAACTCTTTTGAATAACATATAGGTCTAAACTAGAGAGAGAGAGAGAGAGCATTAAAACTAACTGATGATTAAAACTGCCATTAAAATATGATCTCCTAATTATCGCTCACGACTGCAAAATTTTCCTCATCTTGATTAGAGACTCGAATGTTCTGTTATTCTCCATAAAAAAAAATAAGTGTAAAACCAAGAAAACAAGTCTTTATAAGCAAGGAATCCCAAAACAGTACCAAACGTTTCTTTGTAAGTTGCCGAGCAGGCAAACCTCATATAATGTTAATGAAACTGTTGGTTGAATGGAGGCATCAAGGGCCCTCTCAGATACTTTGCACGCCATTACGTGAACCCACTGATACCTTCTTTTTGCTTTGGTTGTTTTGCCACAAAAAGACATGCTATTTGAATAGGGCTAGACTTCATTTATAGGTCCTGCCAAAGCCAACATAATGGGATGTTAATTAAGTCAACGTGTGTCAAGACATTGTTTTAGTGCATGAGTCATGAGGATTTGCTTTAGTCCAACAAATAATGATGAAGTGACGGAGAGTGGGCGTAGGTGGCTGTCAGAAGGCAATGAAGAAGTTAAAATAAGATGAAATAAGAAGGGCTTAATTGCTGTAAGATGAGGAAATAACAAAGCTCCCTCCATAATTCTTCATATCAAAAAATTGGATTTTGTAATTAAAGTGTTAGCTTTTGCTTTTTCCTTTTCAATTGACATCGTGATGAGACAGAGTTGGCAATATGCCATGTAACCACAACCCAGTACTCTGCTGCAGTGTTTTTTTTTTCCCTCCCTGTTTTCTTGCTTGATTTGTTATTTAAGAATCCATTTTATCCAGATCACATGCAATGAAACAAGAAAGTTTTCTTGATTATGATATGATGGGAGAGAGGAAAAATTGAATGACGGTGGAGTCTTTAGAAAATCTTGCCTTGCTTGCTTTATGGTTATGCCTACGGACCCATAGTTAAATGTTAAAGCGATTGTTGTTCTTCTGTTCTTTTGCCGAGTATCGTTATTTTTGAATTGGAAAAGCCGTTTGAAAGTTACTACTACAACTTGACCTCCCAGAAACCTCATTACGTGATGTAGTTGTTGGTCTTGTTCATATAACTGGAAAATTTTGATGCAGAAAATCACGGTTATGAAATGGAAATAATTGACCACATTTGACATACTCAGGTTACCATA